GAAACAGATTTTGAGTATAAAATTGTGTCTTCTGAGATCACAGGGGCTCCTTTTTAAAACAGCCAACTTCCTAGCCCTCATGGGTATAAACATCTGCTCAAAAACATGGGAGCAACACCTGTTAAAATCTCATAAACCATATGAAGACCTGAGAAGGATTCCCAAGGGCTAATTCATCTCTCTCCAGTTAGCTGAAGAAAAAGAATACATTAAGCAAAAGAAGCACTGGTATGCAAATTAGCTTCATTTGCAACATTTCCTCCTGAGATAAATGTGGCTCGCAGGGGGAAACTCCTTCAGGGAATAAGCTTGCGAAGGTGTTGGGTATTACTTCATTAATTGCTGCAGAAAACATGCATTTTGTGTTTTGCTGGGGCCATGGATTTTAAAAAGACGCTACACATTTCTGACTGGTTACATAAAGTATGGGACATTATAGGAAATGATTAATCTGCTGTATTGGGTTAAGAAAATGGAAAGCCATCACTTTAAAAACCAAAGCTTTCTAACATACTAAAGTGGGACCTGCAAAAACATGTTGCCCTATACTGGGCCGGCCCTACCATCAGGCAAAGTGAGGAGGCTGCCTCAGACAGCAGATGCTGAGGGATGACAGCAGCAGCAGCAGCAGCTCCTCTCTCTTCCTGCCCTCCCCCCACCCCCACATTTCCCATCAGTTTTTTCCAACATGGAAGGATTCGTGCATAAAATGCTCCATAGCAAATATTCACTTTCAGATCTGCTTCAGTTCTTTGGGTGGGGGATTTTTCACCCCTGTGGGAGGACAAGGCAGGCAGCATAGCAGTGTGCATTATGTTCAGTGTCCCCGAAAGAAGACGGTGCCACTTCTGTGCATGTTCAATGGTACTAACCACCTGGACTATGTGTGTTCGAATTTTCTGCTCTGCTTTAGGCATCAGAATGCCCTTACCTGCCAACTAGCTGTGCTCTTCTTTAGAGTACTGGCCAGTAGGCAACCAAGCCCTCCTCCAGAAAGAAGATCAATCCAGATCTACTGGTAAATCCCTGGGGATTTGCAGTAGATTATCAAGAACTGCTGACTCCATATTGTTTAACAGTAGCAACAATTCCCCCCAGGCCATCCCATTTGGCAGCTGAAATGAAGAAAGTTTGGGGTCAAAAACAAGAATGGTTTTTCATGTGACAGAACTGGGACAAATTGATCTTTCAGTGTGGCAACACTTCTCCTCTGGAACTCCCTGCCTGTTTGAGATTAGGCAGGCCCCTTTGTTGTCATTTTTGACACCTGCTAAACACTATGGGTTTTATCCAATGCTTGTCCTACTCAGAGCAGGCCCATTGAAATGGATAGATATAGGATAGCATTCAACTCAGTTTTACTCAGACTCAGTCCACTCAAAAGAGTAAACATTGTCTTCGTTAGGACCATTAATTTCAGTAGGTCTGCTTTGAGTAAATGTTAGTTGGCTTCCACCCTATTTTATTTAGGCAGGCCTACCCAAATGTGCAATTTTAGCATGTACATTTGTTTTTAAAAGCTGTTCATTTTTACTTATATTTTATAATCTTGAAGCTTGTTTTCATTGTTATTTCCAATCAATGTTTTATACCATTTTATGTTAGTCACTTGGGACGCGGGTGGCGCTGTGGGTTAAACCACAGAGCCTAGGACTTGCCGATCAGAAGGTCAGCGGTTTGAATCCCCGCGACGGGGTGAGCTCCTGTTGTTCGGTCCCTGCTCCTGCCAACCTAGCAGTTTGAAAGCATGTCAAAGTGCAAGTAGATAAATAGGTACCGCTCTGGTGGGAAGGTAAACGGCGTTTCCGTGTGCTGCTCTGGTTCGCCAGAAGCGGCTTAGTCATGCTGGCCACATGACCCGGAAGCTGTACGCCGGCTCCCTCGGCCAATAAAGCGAGATGAGCGCTGCAACCCCACAGTCAGCCACGACTGGACCTAATGGTCAGGGGTCCCTTTACCTTTACCCAAATGTGCAATTTGAGTATGTGCATTTGTTTTTTAAAAACTGTTAATTTTTACTTATATTTTATAATCTTGAAGCTTGTTTTCATTACTTCCAATCAATGTTTTATACCATATTATGTTAGAAGTTGTTGGGTGTTTTTTTAACGAAACGGCATAGCCATCTTGTTGAACAAATAGAAATAAATACTAAAAGCAAATCCCTGCACTCGGAGGAGCCCTTTTCCTTGTCTAGCCCCATTTCTAAGCCATTATTCTGCACTTGGCTTCTGCTGGTGGTCCTTAGTATTTCGGGGGGGGGGAAATAAAGTTGATCCCGCAGACTTGACGTCCCCCCCTCCCCGCATTAAAGATGTAGGAGGCAAAGCAGGTGGAGGGAGGGACAGAATTGTGTGGCCAGTGATAAGAATTTGCACTTTATGCTTGCCAAGGAGGATAGAAAAAGCACTGCGATGGGGCTGCAAGCAATTATTGGAGACCATTTCAGCCAATATTGAAGCGGCTCCCCTTGAGCCTTGCTTGATTTAAAGGAAGTCTCATAAGGCTATTCATGGCTACCGGTTATTGTTATAACTCCTTAGCAATACCAGTTGCTAAGGAGCATCATTGGGCAGAGTGTGTTGTTGCACTCAGGTCCAGCTTGCAGGCTTCCCAGAGGCATATGGCTGGTCAGCATGAGAAAAGGATGCTGGAATAGCATAAGCCTTTGGCCTGATCCAGCCATCATCATCATCATCATCATCATCATCATTTATTATTTATACCCCGCCCATCTGGCTGGGTTTCCCCAGCCACCCTGGGTGGCTTCCAACAAAGTATTAAAACACAGTGGTACCTCGGGTTACATACGCTTCAGGTTACAGACTCTGCTAACCCAGAAATATTACCTCGGGTTAAGAACTTTGCTTCAGGATGAGAACAGAAATCGTGCTCTGGCGGCACAGCAGAAGCAGGAGGCCCCATTAGCTAAAGTGCTTCAGGTTAAGAACAGTTTCAGGTTAAGAACGGACCTCCGGAACGAATTAAGTACTTAACCTGAGGTACCACTGTACAGTGTTCTGTTAAACATAAAAAACTTCCCTAAAAAAAAGTCTGGTAGTTGTTCTTCTCTTGGTGGGAGGGCGTTCCACAGGGTGTTCTCCTGGTGGGAGGGCGTTCCACAGGGCAGGTGCCACTACCGACAAGGCCCTCTGCCTGGTTTCCTGTAACTTGGCTTCTCGCAGCAAGGGAACTGCCAGAAGGCCCTCGGCACTGGACCTCAGTGTCCGGGCAGAATGATGAGGGTGGAGATGCTCCTTCAGGTATACTGGACTGAGGCCGTTTAGGGCTTTAAAGGTCAGCACCAACACTTTGAATTGTGCTCCGAAACGTACTTTTCTTCTGTTCTTAAGGAGGAGCCCTGGTGGATTAAGGCCCTTCACTTACATACTGAAAGACAGCTTCCTCAGTTACTGAGGCACATTCTTATTCCTTACCAAGCAGGGTATATATAGTATGACCTTATAACCACCAAAGCAAAGCACCACCCACACTCCTGCTGCAAAGGGGGGGTGGAATTATTAATTTCCACATAAGCTTTTCTGAGGGATCTATCAGCCACAGCCATTGTTTCAGTGACTCACAAAAGCTGGCGCGTTAAGGTGATTATTCAACCAGACAAACACACTAGAAAGCTATGATTACTGTCAACCGATTTAAACTGGGGAAACAATGGCAGCAAAGAAAGAGACATTCCTCTGAGGTGACGACGCTCTGGAATAAGTTTCCAACCTACTGAAAACACCAGAGCAATAAATGTTCTTGGAATGCCTAGTTACCAAAGCCTCACTAACTGGAGGTGGCCTGATTTCGTCAAAAGGGCCAGGTCCAAATCAAATGTTTTGGGCTTGTCCACACTTGTCCTGTGCCTAGAAAGCACGAGTCCAATAAGTTTTCCCCTTGCCCCACTCCTTTTCCAGGGAAAACCTGCTCTTTAGTGCTCAATTGGAGCAAACTCCAGAGAAAACTGGGGTTGCCCTTTGTTCCAATTGAGCGCTAAAGAGTGGTTTTCCCTGGTGGAAAGCAATGGAACAAGAAGAAATGTGGATAAAGCCTTTAGTGAGGAAGCTGTTCACAGCTAATTGCTGAGTGCAATTTCAGAATCTAAGGAAGTCCATGGGAAAAAACACAGAAGAAGGTGAGGCAGGGCAAATATGCTCCTTATACAGAGTCAAATTATTTGCCAATCTATCTTGGCATTGTCAACATAGACTGGCAGCACCTTTCCAGCGTTTCAGACAGGAGTCTTTCATAGCCCCGTCTGCAGATGCTGGAAATTGAACCCAGGACTTTCTGCCTGCAAAGCATGTTTTCTACTGCTGAGAACTATGAGATCCAGTTCATAGGGGCAGGGGAACAGAAGGTAGCTAATTAAGGTACAAAGAATCAATAATCCCTCCAGCCCCACTGAACAGCAAACAAAAATGAAGGCAGGACCTAGATGCAGAATGTCTTTGGTTAAATGCTTCATCAAACAGAACTTACTTGTGAATACACACTACAAAAGGATGTTGGTCAACAGGAAGGGTAATTTCTTGATAATATAGCACTATATTACGTGCTTTTCATTCTGCACCCAACTGATTGTGGAAGAGCAATGCCCCAACAGCACCAATAGGCCCTATTGTGGATTCAACCATAATTAAGGGAAGATGAAGAGTTTGGATTTGATATCCTGCTTTATCACTTCCCGAAGGAGTCTCAAAGCGGCTAACGTTCTCCTTTCCCTTCCTCCCCCACAACAAACACTCTGTGAGGTGAGTGGGGCTGAGAGACTTCAGAGAAGTGTGACTAGCCCAAGGTCACCCAGCAGCTGCATGTGGAGGAGTGGAGACGCGAACCCGGTTCACCAGATTACAAGTCTACTGCTCTTACACCACACTGGCTCTCAAGGGAATGAATGTTAAACAATAAGAACCTATTTCCAAAACCAACTGTACTCTTTCCTCTGCTCTTGCTGGGCAGAACTCTTAGACTGACAGACCTCACACTCACGCAAGTGGGGTTTTCAAACGTTTATTTCACCAGTGCCTCTTCTCGCTTCCTCTCACTTCTTGACTTTGCCCTGGGCTGCCACAGCCTCCATGGCCTTTCGCACGGTCTCTTCATCACCCAGGAACTGCATGGGCTTCGTAGGTTTCAGGTTGTCGTCTAACTCATACACAATGGGAATCCCAGTCGGGAGGTTGAGCTCCATAATCGCCGCATCAGACATACCTAAGTGGTGAACCAGACAAGGTCAGATGGTCCCCCTCTGTGCATTGTCAAAGCGCTGCAATTGTCAGAGATAGTGTCTTGCAACCTAAGAACCACACATACAGATGGCCAGTCACCCATCTCAAGCGACAATACATCTGCCTAGGAGAGCTAGAAGGGGCCAAAAGGAGCCAGCACTTGGCTCTAATACCTAAACAAGCAGCCCTATTTAGGGAAGCTTTTAATGTTTAACTACTGTATTTTTTTTAATGTTTACTATTGTATTTTAATATTTTGTTGGAAGCTGCCCAGAGTGGCTGGGGAAACCCAGCCAGATGGGTGGGGTATACATAATAATAATAATAATTAATTTGCAGTGAAGGAGCTCAGTCCTCAAACATAAAAAGTATGCCTGGTCTGGACACACAGAAACTGTTCTTCTTCTGTGTCACCATGTTTCTAGTGTTCTCCTTGCAGCGTCCAAGAGGAGAGGGGAGGGGAAGAATGGAAGCCTGAGGTTTGCTCACAGTGACCACAGAACATCGGTCCTGAAAGACCTACATTGGCTCCCAGTACATTTCCGAGCACATTTAAAGTGTTGGTGCTAACTCTTAAAGCCCTAAACAGCCTTGGCCCAGTATACCTGAAGGAGCATCTCCACCCCCATCATTCAGCTCCGAGGGCCTTCTGGCGATTACCTCACTACGAGAAGTGAGGTTACAGGGAACCAGGCATAGGGCCTTCTCAGTAGTGGCATCCGCCCTGTGGAATGCCCTCCCATCAGATGACAAGGAAATAAACAACTATCTGACTTTTAGAAGACATCTGAAGGCAGCCCTGTTTAGGGAAGTTTTTAATGTTTGATGCTTTATCGTGGTTTTAATATTCTGTTGGGAGCCGCCAACAGAATATTCTGTTGGTTTCCCCCAGCCAGATAGGCGGGGTATAAATAATAAATAATAGTAATAATAATAATAATAGTGTTAGATCATGGTTTAGCATGAAAGCCACCCCAGATTGTTTGTTATCTTTGCTGCAACATCCTGAAAAAGCTGCTCCTCTGGAAAGTATTAACCCCTGTGGCTTAATTTTCTTCTTTTTTTTTAATCCACATAGATACCGTATTTTTCGCTCTATAAGACGCACCAGACCACAAGACGCACCTAGTTTTTGGAGGAGGAAAACAAGAAAAAAAATATTCTGAATCTCAGAAGCCAGAACAGCAAGACGGATCGCTGCGCTGTGAAAGCAGCAATCCCTCTTGCTGTTCTGGCTTCTGGGATAGCTGCGCAGCCTGAATTCGCTCCATAAGACGCACACACATCTCCTCTTACTTTTTAGGAGGGAAAAAGTGAGTCTTATAGAGCAAAAAATACGGTAATTGTCTAGCGAGATGTGTTCCGTGCTGTGCTTAAAATGAAGCACCACAAGCAACACACTGACTCTCTGCAGCCAACACAAGCAGCATATTGCTGTCTCCAAAGAAATGCCTAAGATACGAAGCTTCCCAAACCAGCAGTCTCAGCAGCTACCAGCAGAGGACACTAGGGAAGCTCAAAGGTGCTAGTGCCAGCTTGCGTGACCTATAATATATGCTGCCCGCTCTTCCTCTAGAATTGTAAGCAGCCTCCTTGGTATGCCCGTGCCCTTTTGGGACAGGGCACATTCACAGAGGTCAGGGAAACAGAATCTCGGGGCAGAGGTGGTGGACGATGAGGCTACCAGCAGGGCCTGGGACGGAGATGGCAGTAGCCAAGCCTGGGAACATGAACTCTGCCAACCTCAAATCTTGTAACGCGACTCCGGACTGGAAATAGCAACGCAACCTTCAAGCAGGCTGCAGGTCGTAGAGCACGGAGCTCTTTTAGTCAGCTGCCTGAGGATATAGGGTTGGTCAGGAGCAGCCCAGGCGCACTGACCCTGAAATACTAAATCATGTGTGCAGAACCATCACTTCTGAATCAATGAAACTGGCAAAGGATGCTGCGTGCTTCTCAGCAATGCTTCCGGCAGAGAGAGTTTGGGGTTTTTTCCAAGGAGGCACTGAAACCATGCAGGTTAAAGTGGGAAGGCTATAGAGTACATAGCTCAGAAGCCAGGGAGCTGGCACTCTGCCCCACTAAAGGTCACCTGTAAAGCGATACAGGTTTTTCATGATGGCCCCAGGCGTCTTCTCTGGTACCCTGGCCTCACAAATACCCCACGAGCATCCCTGCTAGATCGGACTGTGGAGCTGCAAGGGCAAAACGCTGCTGGGACCCGAGCGGCAATACTGCACTGCAGCAGCGGAGGAGCTGAAAGCTGACCCCCCCGTCTTGCATGCGGAAGATCCGCAGTTCAGTTCATTTCCAGGCAGAGATGGGAAAGAGCCCATCTGAAACCCTGGAGAGCCAGGGCCAATCGGTGTCCACAATACTGAGCTATATGGACCAATGGCCTGGCTCGGTATAAGGCAGTTTCCTATGTTCTTAGCGCCTTCCCAGAATCCCCTGCTTCCTTATAATGAATGAGCTTTGTGCTCAAGCCCAAACCACAGTCTCCAGGGCAGGTTTACATTTTTTTTAAAAAAAAGAAGACGACGACCACAATTCAGTACCAGGCTAACTCAAATTCTGTGAGAGCAAGAGCTGTGTAAACGATTCACTTTTATAATTTGCAAAAATATGCCAATTTTGCATAACATTTTCTCCCTCTGGTCAGCCAAAGTAGGGGGTGGGGACAGAATTTTACAGATTACCGAAGCTCTTTCCTAAATAACTGGAAATCCTGCTCAGAGTCTTCTCTGGCCACTGAGATTTATAGCTGAAGACTGAAAACTTGACTTTTAAAAAGAAAGGTGAACCTTTTCCCCTCACAATTTTAGTATATGTGCTGCCGAAGCGAGCACCCTTCCCCCCTCCCACAAGGCTTAAATACTGTACACTACCCCAATCAGTTGCAGTGTTCATGTAGAAGCTAAAAATCAAATGAACAGAGGTGGCCTTTTGCCCATAATTGAGCAAAAATGCCCTATGCAAGTTATGAGACAGAGAGGATGGGAAAACAAAAGAATGCATGAGATGCAGGTTGGCAGGTGATGCAAGGTAGCCCCTTACCTTCCAAGTGCTTGACAATTCCCCGAAGGCTGTTGCCATGGGCAGCAATAAGCACCCTCTTGCCAGCTTTGATCTGGGGCGCAATCTCATCGTTCCAGAAGGGCAGGGCACGGGCAATGGTGTCCTTGAGGCTCTCACAAGAAGGAAGATCCCCAGACTTCAAACCAGCATAGCGCCGTGCCTGGATGGTGCAGTGGGGAAAACAATGGTAAATTCTGGACTAGAGCGGGGAGGCTTAAGAGATCTGGCCCAACCATAGCTGTCAACTTTTCCATTTTCTTGCGAGGCATCCTATTCGGAATAAGGGAATTTCCCTTTAAAAAGGGGAAACGTTGACAGTTATAGGCCCGACCCCAGGAGCTTCTAGGTGGACCAACTGGTTGGCAGGAGCACAAAGAGCATCCTTTGTGGCCTGTAGTCTCTGCCCATTGTGGTTCATCCCAACTTTAGGTGCTCAGAAATCTGGCAAAGGGCTGGATAGTAATTCTGGGCTTGACTACATTGTCAATGGTTCTCTCTTTAAGCTGCTTTGGGAGCCTTCAAAAGGGTCAGTATATAGTTCCCAGTTATCAGAGGTGACTCTCAGACCAGTTAGAAGTAAAGGCTATAAAGGTCTGGGATATAAGACTCCTCACCATCAGGAGGGTCTTCATTAATACCTCAAGGACCACCTCTTTCCATATGAACCTACCCAGACCCTGAGATCATCTTCTGAGGCCCTCCTTCGTGTGCCTCCTTGAGAGGTCTGGAGGGTGGCAGCACGAGAACAGGCCTTCTCTGCAGTGGTTCCCCGTCTGTGGAATGCTCTCCCCAGGGAAGTTCATAATACACCTTTAGGTGCAAGGCAAAAATGTTCCTTTTTAACCAGGCCTTTGATCTGTTTGACATCCTATACCCTTTTAAAATGTGGCTCTTTTCTGGGGTGGGTGGGTGTGCTATTGGGTTGTCGTTTTTATTCTGATTATATATGTTGTGATCTTTTCTGTGAACCGCCCTGAGACCTCTGGGTATAGGGTGGTATATAAATAATAATAATAATAATAATAATAATAATAATAATAATAGGAAAGGGATATGCCACTGGGAAGGAGAACCTAATAGTCACAAAGTTGGCAGATCTGCTGGAGGGGGATGAAGAAAGCCTTTCAGATCACTGCTGGTGGTTTTCCATGGGATATCTTGCTGAAGTCTAGCCTGCAGAATTAAAGCAGAATGGACTCCAACTCCCATCATCACTTGGCTTATCCCAAATAATAATGGGAACAGTAGTTTACCCCTCATGGAGCTACAATTCCCAGCACCCTCAGCAGACTTCTTTGGGGTAAGTCATGTGCTTTAAATGTATGGTGTAGATGTGAGCAAAGTGCATTGGAAAAGCATGTGCAATGGCAACTTAAACTGATGGGATAGGCGCAGCTTGCAGACTTAACATATAGAATAAGAGAACAAGAAGAATATAAGTTTAAAGAAGACTGGAAAATGTTTACTGATTATATGGGGGAAGACTGTACATTTAAAAACACGGGTGGCATTAAGATAATTTCAACAGTGTAAATAAGTTTTGATGGTGTAACAATAGATTACTGAATGGTTTTATGCAGGGATGTATGGTATGCAAAATGAACCACGGAACGAGACGGAGGGAAGTCATTGATTTAAGGTTGTGTAAATGAGTATTTTGAAATGTAATTTAGAAAACTTAATTTGTGTGTGTGTGTGTAAAAGATTACAGAAAGACGGGCTCTTAATAGTAACAGTAGTTCAACCACGGTGCCAGTGACCTAGAGGGGTGATGAGCACTTATTGCTGGAAGTTGAAGCTGGACAGCCATATGTTGGGGCCGCTCTAGCTCTGGACTGCCTGCATAGAGTAGGAGTGCTAGGGGTGGACTAGTCCACCAAGGAGGCTGGATCTCCAAGATGGGAAATACCTTCAGCCTGAGACCAGGGAGAGTCTCTGCCAGTCAGAGTAGACAGCACTAAACTGGATCCGCAGACAGCCTCATTCAGCGGAAGACAGCTTTGTATATTAAATATGTGGAAGCAGCAAACTGGCAGAGTGTGCGGCGAGTGGGAAAGGAAGGGTAACTCAATGGGTCTTTCATAACATAAGCTGGTGGAAAGTTGCTTTGTCCTGGTGGGGTCAGACAGGAGAGAAACAAGGGAGGCTTCCTTTTCAGTCCTTGAAAAAGCTTTCGTGGGCTCGGTCCAGCAGCCAGGGAGATCCTCAGGCTCTTCAGCTGTTTTATCCAAACACATTCCTCAAGTGGCCCTATTCTTGCAGAAGCCAAACCCTGTACCTTGATGCTACCGGAGGAGTATCCTAGCCAGACAAAACATCTCAGCTGCAGAACCACAATAGACTTCTCACCAACCAAAGGATCCCCTTCTGTTCCACAAAGGCCATCACGTCAGCCTTTCTTGCAGCATAACCCCATCCCATTGGTCACCAGCGAGCGTATTGTTTTTGGATTTTTCTTGGGCGTTTTTCTTTCTGTTATTAGTGTTAATTTTTTGTAGCTACATTTTAATATCTTATGATTTATAGTTTATGTGGAAACTTATCGATTTTGTTGTGTACTTTTTGATGCACGTTATTTATTGTTTATATTTGTAATTATGTATTTCCCCCCCTATTGTATGTCACCTTGAGTATAGTTTTATTTTATATAAATGAAAGGACAGTGCTGTTGATGATGACTTTTATGTACCATTTCTGCATGTTGAGTAAAATGCAAGGCAATTTTCTCCTATCACAACAGGCAAGTAAAAAACAAAACAAAAACTAGCCTCTCACTGCAAGTGTAGGAAACCTGTGGCCCTCCAGATGTTGCTGGACTGCAACTCCTGGAATGTCCCACTTTTCCTTAGGACATCCCTATTTTCGTCAGAGAAATGTTGGGAGGGTATGCGACCTGTGAGCCAAGGAGATATAGTGGTACCTCGGGTTAAGAACTTAATTCATTCTGGGGGTCCGTTCTTAACCTGAAACTGTTCTTAACCTGAGGTACCACTTTAGCTAATGGGGCCTCTTGCTGCCGCCGCACAATTTCTGTTCTCATCCTGAAGCAAAGTTCTTAACCCGAGGTACTATTTCTGGGTTAGCGGAGTCTGTGACCTGAAGCGTCTGTAACCTGAAGCGTGTGTAACCCGAGGTACCACTGTACAACCTTTAGAACACATCTGAATGTAGCACTGTAAAGGGAAGTTTTTTTTTAATGTTTAAAGTTTTATTCTGTTTTTATGTATGTTGGAAGCCCCCAAGAGTGGCTGGGGCAACCCAATCAGATGGGCGGGATATTATTATTATTAATTATTATTATTATTATTATTGAATAGGACGTCCCTATTTTCATCAGAGAAATTAGAGGATATGCTCTCTCTCTCTCTCCAGAGTTTCATACCCAGCACTGACCTTGCTGATGATTTGATAGTAATCATGTTTTTCATCCATGGGGGGTGGTGGGATGTCGTAGGAGCGCCTCCAGATCTTGACCTGCTCTTCTCCATGCTTGGCTGCAGTCTCGGCCTTGTTGAGGCCCGTCAGGCCCCCGTAGTGGCGCTCGTTCAGGCGCCAGGTGCGAATCACGGGCAGCCACATCTGGTCGGTGCCGTCCAAGATGTACCAGAGGGTGCGGATGGCCCTCTTCAGCACTGAGGTGTAGCAGATGTCGAACTCGTAGCCCGCATCCTTGACTGCCTTGGCCCCCCGCTGGGCTTCCTCCTTCCCCTTGTCGCTCAGCTCAGCGTCAAACCATCCGCAGAAACGGTTCTCCTGGTTCCAGGTGCTTTCGCCGTGCCTCACGATCACAAGCCGGTGGGTTGGCATTGCTCTGCTGGAAAAAGAAGGCTGCACTCAGAAAGTCAAGCTCAAAACCCTGCCCTGAGCCACCCACGCCCCAGAATGGACAGGCTCGCGCTATTTATACGGCGTCCCCCACCCACCCACTTCAACCCACACGGCCAACCGGTGCCCCTTTACGGGCAGAATGACAGCTGCAGGCAGCCATTCGCGACAACCCAGAGTGCACATGTTCCTTTCTGGCAAAGGCCTAATAGCTAAAGATAGTATTAGGGAGCTTTCTCCCTCCAGCCTCGGCTAGAAATAGCCTGGCAGGCCTGTGACCTTTTCCCTGGGGGCCTGTTGCTAAAGGAGGGTGTTTGGAGATGAGGAACACCGGGAAGCAAAACCTCAGCCCCACAGAGCAAGAGGGAAACACAACCTCCCCTTTGCAAATTGCCACTTACCCCTGAAATATACTCAGAGTCGAGAGTGGATTTCATGCTCTTTATTCAGCTCATAGTGGTGAGGAGGAATGGAAGTTCCCCCAGGATGTCTGCTTTATATACATTATTTACACAATGGGCCCCACGTGATTGGCTAATTCCGGGATTCACCTGTAGGCCAATCAGGTTGCGGATTCACTTCCACTTGGAGTTGGATTGGGTGGCTCCTGTGGACCAATCAGACTTCTGCATTCTGGATCCTATTGTTCTAGGACCAATCAGACTGCTGCATTCTGGATCCTGTTGTTCTAGGACCAATCAGACTGCTGTATTTTGGATCCTATTCAACTCAGTACATAACACCCCTCTGGGCCAGAGCTGTAGCTAGGTGATCTTGCGCCCCTGGCAGAACTATCCAGATTCCACCCCCAAGCCACTGACAAATTGGCTCTTCTTTCCGCCTCCCCTCCAACACCCTGCCCCACCCTCTATTAAAAACCTTTTCTTATGAGGCAATAATCAACACCTTTATTTATAGACATATTTTTAGCCGATTTTGTGCCCTACCCCCAGCCTGCACCCCTAGCAGGGGCCCACCTCACCACCCCCTAGCTATGGCCCTGCTCTGGGTTTTATGGTGGCCGTGGCTGGAAGCAAAAGCCTGCCCTGGATTCACATGCTTGCAACTCCTGTCTCCTGGACAGAGATGGGGATGAGGGCTGGAGGAGGGAGCTGCCTAGGGCGGGGTGTGTGTGTTAGAGACAGGGAGTGCAGGGTCTATTATCAGCCAGCCAACTTGGCTGCTCTTGCAGAGCAATCCTTCAAAACAACAGGCCTTGACAGCAAAGCAAAGGGATGGATGTGTTATAAGCAGAGACGGCGTCAGGGTCCGGCATCGTCAGGTACCTGCCACGGGCCACAGTTAACCTCCATGGAACACAGATCAGCCTCATGGTTCCTCTCTGTTGTTGCTGCCTTTTGTAACTTCTGCTCTCTGGGTGAGCAAGCAAGCAAGCAGTGGAACTGGCACAATGAGAAGGAGTGGCATTCTCTGCTCAACTCCCCAAACCTCCTGCTCTCCGTGGGCGAGTCGACTGAGAAATAAAGGGCCAACCCTTTGCTTTTGAAATGACCCCTCTAGACTGATCTCAGCAATTTGGTGATAATGTTAAGCTCAATGCAATGTTGCTGATTACAACATACCTACCACGTTTCCGTTGAAGACAGAAGCAACCTAGGCCCTCATTCCACCCCAAAACAAAAAGTTTACTACTATATGCCACCACCACAGCTAGAACCTTATTGGCAACAAAGGTGGAGAACAAGTACCGTATTTTTTGCTCCATAGGGCGCACCGGACCATAGTGCGCACCTAGTTTTTAGGGGGGGAAATAAAGCGGATCCATCCCGCTGGCTGTCTTGGCTTCCTCTTTAGCCACGCACAACCTCTCCAGCCAGGAAAGGCTGCGAGCGGCTTCGTTTTTAGCCGTGGGGCTGGGGCGGGGGAAGCCTGAGCTTCCCCTGACCCCAGCCGCCATAACAGGTCCGGGAGGGGAGGCAAGGTTGCGCAGCCTTGCCGCCGCTCCTGGAGCTTGCGGGCTGGGCGAGTGCTCAGTGGGAGTCGGCATTCGCTCCATAGGACGCACACACATTTCCCCTTCATTTTTGGAGGGGGGAAAGTGCGTCCTATAGAGCGTAAAATATGGTATAGTATCCACTAAGGAAGAATGGCAGTATAAAATGTTTGAATATGCTGAACTGGCTGGTCTGACGAACAGGATAAGAGAAAACGAAGACAAGGAATATAAGGAGGAATGGATAATGTTTACTGACTATTTCAAGAACCAGCATAGACATAGTCCAGCAGGTTAACCAGAGGAAACAAAGCTCAATCAGGCCGGCCTTAAACAACAAGTCAAGAGATCCCGGGATCGCCAGGACAGCGCATGCGGAGGTGAGTATAAGTAGGAAACACGGGTAGTGGGTTGGGTTCTCTAAACCACAGCAACCAAAATTCTTTCCTTCCTTCAAATCTAAACTTTCTCCCTTCCTTTTCCATCACCTAATTTTCACCACAGACCCGAATCCATCGGAGTTGCCCAGAGGAGGGTCTTGTGTGTCTCTTTCCCCTTTAATTCTAGATGCTCACCTAATCCTTCGGTGGTCGTCCAGAGAAGGTTGTGTACTTCCCTCTGTACTGAAAACTATAACTCCCATGCGCAGCCGCACCCCTGCCATGGCGATCTTTGTTAGAGATGACCTGTGAACAGAGAAGGCAAGGGCACCAATTTCTTTCCCCCTTTTTGTGTTTCTGAGTTCTGATGTGACATTGCAAGTGTGCAAGCGTTCAGTTGGAACTCTTAATTCAGATTGTAAGAGGCAGGAAGGTTGCTGTGGGTTCCCAGGCAGAGATTAAAAGAGGGAGGGTAAAGTCCCCTTTTGGAGATTGTCCAAGTTTTCCCCCTTTTGGAGATTGTCCAGGTTTCCCCTGTTTGGAGAGTGTCCAAAACCCCTTTCAGAGTGTGTCCAAAGTTTCCAGTTAAGGAGTTTTCCTAGGTTCCCCTTTCAGAGATTGTCAGTCTTAGAAAATGGGTGCACCCCTGTCAAAAGAGACAAGTCCTAGGACTCCCAGCAAGAAGGAAGCCCAATTGGCGCTTACTTCCCGCCTGGACTCTGACAGACCCCTTCCATTTGTGTTTAAGAAACGTTTCTCCTGTGTTTAAATTGGCCTTGGGTAACATCCAGCAGCTGCCTATCTTAAATGTGCCATCTAAAAAATAATAATGCAATTTTGCTTCAAAAATGTAATCTAAGGAAGCCATGTTGGGCCTTATCAATCTTAAACAAGACAAATATGAGAATGAGGTGTGCCAATGTTTGTTATTTGAGAGAGGCTCCAAAGGAGAGTCGTCCTCCAAGTGGTAGAAAGAAAAGAGAGAAAATAAAAAATAAATCCTGTGTATGTGCTTACCTGTGTTCTGAGAGGGGGGTGGGCCCCCCTTCCCTAGACAACTAAAGAGGAAATAAATTTGTAACTTTGAGTTTATGAGAGAGCTAGTCTGCAGCCGTGTTCTAGTCTACTTTGGAATGTGCTGTGAGGGTAGCCTAATGTTTCTGTTGTAACCAGCCTAGTAAAGGTAAAGGTACCCCTGCCTGTACGGGCCAGTCTTGCCAGACTCTAGGGTTGTGCGCTCATCTCACTCTAGAGGCCAGGAGCCAGTGCTGTCCGCAGACACTTCCGGGTCACGTGGCCAGCGTGACAAGCTGCATCTGGCGAGCCAGCGCAGCACACGGAACGCCGTTTACCTTCCCGCTGGTAAGCGGTCCCTATTTATCTACTTGCACCCGGGGGTGCTTTCGAACTGCTAGGTTGGCAGGTGCTGGGACCGAACGACGGGAGCTCACCCTGCCGCGGGGATTCGAACCGCCGACCTTTCGATCGGCAAGTCCTAGGCGCTGAGGTTTTACCCACAGCGCCAGTAACCAGCCTAGTTGAGCATAAATGCTCTCACAAGCTAAAATGCAGTGTTGGTACAGTGGTACCTCAGGTTAAGTACTTAATTCGTTCCGGAAGTCCGTACTTAACCTGAAACTGTTCTTAATCTGAAGCAGCACTTTAGCTAATGGGACCTCCCGCTGCTGCCGCGCTGCCGGAGCCCGATTTCTGTTCTCATCCTGAAGCAAAGTTCTTAACCTGAAGCACTATTTCTGGGTGAGCGGAGTCTGTAACCTGAAGCGTATGTAACCTGAAGCGTACGTAACCTGAGGTACCACTGTATTTCATTAAGCCTTAGGTAGGTCTCCTTTTGAGAGAAAAGTGTTGTTGTCCTGAGGAATCCTTGGAAGTATTATGACTATATGACTATGAAAATATGGTGTTCCTTCTAAGAAAATTGTTATTAAAGGTAGAAGTATGCATGCTGTATTTGGTATGAAGTTGTAAGTGGGACAGGGGGAGGGGAGGGGGGCTAAATATGCTCTCTGTTCCTGTTTTTGAAAATGCAATTTATTAATTTTTTTAATAAATAAAGGGCCAACCCTTTACTTTTGAACTGACCCCCCTAGTTTGATCTCAGCAATTTGGTGATGATAATGTTAAGCTCAAAGCAATGCTGATGATTACGACATACATGCCACATATATTACCCACCATTTATCACTCACATCCCACCAGCACATTTAAATTCTGAATTTAAAAACTACTAAAACCAATTACAGCCACATGTACTATGGCATGCATGCTAAAGAAAGGGCTTTTGCAAATAACAGTATCTTCCCCAGTGACACTGAGCTAGTTTGTGCAGCCAATGAGAACACCACTCTTTATGGTGATGCTGTGTAATATAATAAAAACAAAAACTAGAGCGAATGTTTGGTCAGGGCCACCAGGTGGCACCATTTTCCGCACTGAAAAGCTTTTACTATGATGCTATGATGACAAAAGGACACCATGTTGACATGATTATTTTCATTCAGAAGCAGCACAGATTTTGAGGGTTTCATTATACAGATCTGAGGAACTGTTTTCAGGCACTCTGTCTCTCTACGGGGAGCCAAGCCAAAGCGTGTCTCGACATTTTGCTTCTATACATACAGAATCATCTCTGGGTCCAGATCTGGCTATTTTTGCTAACGCATTGCGAGGGTGAAAAAGTCTTGTTCTATCCCCTCAGTGCTGCCATGTCAACATGAACTACCAAAGAAAACAAACCCATAAATGTCATTAGCTTATCTCATCACAAAACCTTTTGCAAAACACATGAATATAATCCATCGTCGTGTTAAACTTTGTCTCTCTCTCCCATGTGTTTGTGTATGACATATTTGTTTATGTTTTTGTTTATAGTTAAGGATAATGCTTATTGAATCGGATGAAGTGTCCCTGGAAAATTATGCTACTATCCTATACCAAAAAGTGGGAGTAAGTCCAATTAGCTAACTGGCCCAATTCAAAGTGCTGTGGGAAGAGGGGGTTTATTTTGTTGTTTGGGTTTAATTATTTACTTGTGTTTTATCTTGTATTTTATTCTGTAAACTGCGCTGAGACCTATTGATGAAGGGCATGTAAAATAAACAAACAAATAAATAATTGGAATCATTTTTCTCTCTCTTAGAAAAAGGGACCAACCAAATAGCAACTGTTTTCTGTTGCCTTGAGAGTATGTGTTGTTCATTTGTTGTTCCAAGTTGCTTTGAATTGCTTTTATAAAACAAACAAACAACTAATCGTGATCAGGGGAATAAAGGAAAAGGAAGCTACTTTGGGGAGGGGGTTACACAAACCACAGCTGTAATTAAACCTTTGCCATTCCAGTTATCATGGAGAACAGAATAAGGACTGAATTACTTACCTTCAATATAACAGCATTGCCCAGCAGTTCCACAAACACTAATTGCTTCCCCCCAGGAAGAAGAGAAGGAAGGAGTGATGGAAAGAAAGGAATAGACACTTAATTCACAGAGGGAAGCTGGTTAGTTCAGCTGAGTTGAGCGTAACAGGTGAACAAAAATGGTTGCATTGTGCCAGTTCTATTTAAGCATTAGATAGGCATAAGGTATCTAAGACCTATTTACTTGCAAGAAATTGCTACTTATCTACCATACTCAGCTCTGTTTCTGCTACTGCTGGTTTTTTTGTTCCTTTTAGCCAATTGGATTACAATATGCAAATGAGCAACAATGCCTGCTCACAGGCAGACCTAAGAGACATACCTCCTCCATTATGTTCCATCACAATTGACAAGCCACCATACATAGGTCCAGTATACATACCATCCAGCAAGGTATAGTACAGCTGTGAAGCTGTGGGCCTCCAGGTGTTGCTGGACTCCAAATACCATCAGCAGTAGCCAGCATTGCCAATGATAAGGGATGATGGGAGTTGTAGTTCAAGAACACTGGAGGTTGTCAGGATGCTGTCGGTGGCTCCCAGCTGGTTCCCCAGGAAAGACAAGGGAATGTTTCTAACCGTCCTTTTTTATTTCTATCTTTTCAGAGAGAGACTGTAGAACCCAGTGTCCTGGATAATGGTGTTGTCCCAAGTGAATCTCCACCTCCCTGTCTCTCCCACTTCCTCATTCCTCTCTTCTATGGGTGCTGCTACTTGCCCTGTGTCTTTGAGCCCTTTGCTCTCCTACTTTCAAGGCTCGCCAGGTTCTGGGAGATCTGGAATGCTTTCTGTTATGTACTAAGCTAAATCCTAGAACAATAGGATCTGTAATGCAGCAGTCTGATTGGTCCGCAGGAGCCACCCAATCCAGCTCCAGGTGGAAGTGAATCAGCAACCTGATTGGCCTGCAGGAGCAGCCAATCAGGCTTCTGGAGGAGGTGAATCTGCAACCTGATTGGCCTGCAGGAGCAGCCTGGAATTAGCCAATCACACGAGGCCTGTATATATAGCTAGATGTTTTGGGGAAAGATTCGTTCATTGCTACTATGAGCTGAATAAAGAGCATGAAATTCACACTCGACACCGAGTATATTTCACTTTCTAAAGACACCGTGTTGGCCAGCTGCCACCCTCGTCCTGCCTCTTCCTCTCCCATTATTTCCCAACTTTTTGCCTCATCTGCCTCTGAGCTGTGACCTCCCTCAAACCACTGTTGTAAATCTATACTGTCTTCCTCTTCCTCCTCCCTGGGGGTGGTCAGGATGGGGAGGCGGTCTCTGCCATTCCTCCTCTCTGGCCAGTCCCTGACACCCTGCAATGTTTGGCGGTGAAAACCCCACCTTTTACGGCACCCGACAAAATTAACCCTCTGTGTCCTAACCTGAAGAGTCACGGTTTTGCCAAAAACTCAATGTCATCCGATTCACGCCAAACACTGGCAATCACCGCCTCCAAAATGGAACAGAGCTATATGAATAAAGGAGGTAGGTGGGTCACGAAAATCTTGACCATCAAAGGCCAATATAAAGAGGTACGTCTCCAGCATATAGCGAAAAGGTGTACAGTGGTACCTCGGGTTAAGTACTTAATTCGTTCTGGAGGTCCATTCTTAACCTGAAATTGTTCTTAACCTGAAGCACCACTTTAGCTAATGGGGCCTCCTGCTGCTGCCGCACCGCCGGAGCACGATTTCTGTTCTCATCCTGAAGCAAAGTTCTTAACCTGAGGTAATATTTCTGGGTTAGCGGAGTCTGTAACCTGAAGCGTATGTAACCTGAGGTACCACTGTACAATGAAGATGCTTGATACATCTTTATGGGGAGGAAGTTCCACAATTTAGAGGCTCCTACAGGAAAATGTCTTCTTCTGGACCACCATTCTCCAAACTTCTGAGGGTGGCGGAATTACCAAAGGAACCCCATCTGCAAATCCTGATGTCTGAGAAGGCCAACAGGGTGTGATTAAACAACTGGTTGAACCATGAACGCTGTGTGTAAAACCATACAGGTAAAGCACATTGAAAACACAACACTTCCTCACCAAACTATCCTCACAACTCTATTGTCCTCCTCACAGAGCTACAATTCTCAACACCCTTAACAAACTACAGACCCCACAATACTTTTTTGTGTGGGGGTGCTTTAAATGTATTATGTGTGCGTTGCCTCAGCTTTAGTATCTCATTTATGTAACTCATGCCCCAACAAAGTCCAACGGGCAACCATCTTAATTTTTTTATTATTTTGCGCAGCCACATGAAAAATTGCTTTTAATTGCCCGGGCCTTCTAATACTGTGGGTGGTCTTTTCTTTAAATCCAAATTTAAAACAAATACTTTTATTTATTTATTTTCAAAAATTTTATTAGTTTTTACAATATCAACCACAAACAAAAACATAAAACAAACAAGACATAACACACATAAATCATAACCTTATTGAAAATAACAGCTATTTACTTTGTAAAACGACTTCCTCGTTTCCCCTTAGTTGAATTTCATTGTATATCCTTATAACGGTTTTCCAAATCCTAACTTTAATACCCTTTAAATTAAACATTAACATCTTTAAATCTTCTTCTTGTATTAGACATATTATTTTATCAGTTAACATAAATACAATCCTAAGCCCATTAAGTATCTGGACGCTATTTCCAGTTATTTTAGCTTAACAAATTTAGCTAAATAATCATCCATCATCTTCATCCGCCATTCTTCTACTGTTGGTAATTCTTGAGTTTTCCACTTTTTAGCTAACAGAATACGAGCCGCAGTTGTGGCATACAAAAATAGATTAACATCTTTCTTGGGCAATTCCGAACCTGTTATTCCATAATACTTTTAAAGATTTTGATTGTATTGCTCCTTGAACCTGTTGCGATTATCTTCTTGTTTATTGATTGATATCACTTTTATAGCTTGCATTGGCTTTACCTAAGCCGCTCTGGGAGCCAACTCCACCATTAGGCTAAAGTAAGAGAGCTGCCTTAGGCGGGATCGTTGCCTAAAGGCAGCGAATTGATAGGCATTTCTAATTATTGATTTTTTTACTCCCAGGAAAAGGCACTTGTAGCATCCTTTCTTGTCTCAGGTGCCAGATTCAGTTGGCCAACCTTAGATACCATGAATCATGTCTTGGGGGAGCACACCATTTACTGTTCTGCCTCAAGCCATAAAGAGGCAGTGTGTTGTAGTGGTTAGAGTGTTGGACAAGGACCCGAGAGACCAGGATTCAAATCTCCAGTCAGCCAGGAAGCTCATTTGGTGTCCTTATCGGCCATGGCCAAACTTGGTCCTCCAGCTGTTTTGGGACTACAACTCCCATCATCCCTAGCTAACAGGACCAGCGGTCAGGGATGATGAGAATTGTAGTCCCAAAACAGCTGGAGGGCCAAGTTTGGCCATGCCTGCCTTAGGTGATCTCTTAGTCTCACCTACCTCACTGGGTTGTTGTGAAGATAGAAAGGGGAGAGGACTATGTATTCCTATCTTGAGCTCCAGGGAAGAGTCTATAAATGCAATTGACTGATTGATTGATTGATTGATTGATTGATTGACTGATTGTCTTGGGCTGGCCTTTGCTTTCTTGGCTGAAGAGCAAGGTAAACATAAAAAGGTAAAGGGATCCCTGACCATTAGGTCCAGTCGTGACCGACTCTGGAGTTGCGGCGCTCATCTCGCTTTATTGGCCGAGGGAGCCGGCGTACAGCTTCCGGGTCATGTGGCCAGCATGGCTAAGTCGCTTCTGGCCAACCAGAGCAGCACACGGAAACGCCGTTTACCTTCCCGCCAGAGCGGTACCTATTTATCTACTTGCACTTTGACGTGCTTTTGAACTGCTAGGTTGGCAGGAGCAGGGACCGAGCAACGGGAGCTCACCCCGTTGCGGGGATTCGAACCGCTGACCTTCTGATCGGCAAGTCCTAGGCTCTGTGGTTTAACCCACAGTGCCACCCGCGGTACTACTTCTGGGTTAGCGGAGTCTGTAACCTGAAGCGTATGTAACCCGAGATACCACTGTACTCAGAAATAAGTTCCACTAAAAAAAAGGATAAGAGAAATAAGTTCCACTGTGTGGCTTACATCTGACAGCCTTGCTCTGTTAAATTGCAATCTTGGGCACATTCTCTAGAGGGGGTGGGGCAGTAATCCGTATCCATGTACAGTGGTACAGTGGTGCCTCGCAAGACGAAATTAATCCGTTCCGCGAGAGTCTTCGTCTAGCGGTTTTTTCGTCTTGCGAAGCAAGCCCATTGACGGATTAGCGCTATTAGCGCTATTAGCGGTTTAGCGGCTATTAAAGCCTTTAATGGTTATTGGATTAGCTGCTAAAAGGGTATTAAATGCTATTAAAGGCTTAGCAGATTAGATAAAGGGGGGGGAAAAGAGAAAAAAAAATCTCAAGACTCGCAAGGTATTTTCGTCTTGCGAAGCAAGCCCATAGGGGATTCGTCCTGTGAAGCAACTTCAAAACGGAAAACCCTTTCGTCTAGCGGTTTTTCCGTCTTGCGAGGCATTCGTCTTGCGGGGCACCACTGTACCTCGGATTAAGAACTTAATTCGTTCTGGAGGTCTGTTCTTAACCTGAAACTATTCTTAACCTGAGGTACCACTTTAGCTAATGGGGTCTCCAGCTGCTGCTGTGCCGCCAGGGCACGATTTCTGTTCTCATCCTGAAGCAAAGTTCTTAACCCGAGGTACTATTTCTGGGTTAGCGGAGTCTGTAACATGAAGCATCTGTAACCTGAAGCGTCTGTAACCCGAGGTACCACTGTAATGGGGACGAGGAACCTATGTTCCCCTCTAGATCTGGTTGGACTCCAGTTGCCATCAGCTCCGGTCAGCAACGCCATTTGCCAGGTTTCCCCCCTCCCTTCCTTCCACAAAGCTTGAGCAGGTGGCGGGGAGTTTTCCCGACAGTTCCGAGGAAAACTTGAGAAACCACCCGCAGAAATTCCCATTTCACCTCCCGAACTCCAGAAATTCCGGGGGCTCGTCTTGCAGTAGCCAAGATCGGCCACGGAGGGGCGCTATTTCGCAGCGCAAATTCAAACCTGGGAGTTGCCGCCCAGAAAGGGAAACCACCCGAGATGCGGGGGGGGGGGGGGGCGGAATCTCAATCTCTCTCTCCCCGGACTGGAAAGAAGGGAGGAGGGAGCGGTAGATTTCCACTAGCGCGGACAGGGCTGGGCAACTCTTTCTCGACCCCGCCCGCCCACGGAGCTGGGTGAGTCATCTGCACCGTCTCTCTGCCTCTCTCGCTGGGGGGCTTTTCCCGGCTGCTGCAAGAAGGAGCGTGTCGGGTTGCTGCAAAGCGGCTTGCTTTTCTCCTTGTGCTTGCTTTTCTCCCTTCCCTCTTTGCTGCCCTTCCCGTCCAGTTTTGCAGCCAGGAGGAGGAGAGCACACACTGCCTCCCCGCGATCTTCTCTGCTGGAAATGCACGCGCACCGTGTGAAATCCATCCAGGCGCTGCCGTGCTGGGTTTGTTTATTTGCTTTTAATAAAATTAAAATAGGATAGGCTGCGGACCGCCCATGTAGGCATCGTCGTGTTGCATTGCAGCCATTTGCACGGCAGGCGCAAGATTGGGAGTTGCTACTCCGAGGTGCAGCTTCGGAGAGCGAGAACACGTCGTGCAACGAGACGTTATAAAGTCCTAGTCCTCATTGAGGTGGCGGAGCCGGGTTTGAGTTTCCGTCCATATCAGAAGCGGGGGCTTAGAGGACGGAAGGCTCCTCTATGCCAAATACATTTTCCTGCACGCAGGAGACTGGCATCCTAGAAGAAAGGGCCGTGATCCAGCGTTATCTCTGCAATATTAAGCTCTGCAAGTCTTTTTCGTTTTGCATGGAGAGGCAGGTCACTATGGAAAGCCTCCAACGGCAGCCCAGCGTTACGCTTCGACCCCGGCGTCTTTAAGGGTTCGGGTACCAGGCACCACCCACGAAATCCCCAGTGTTTTGCTTTAAAAAATAAAAACCTGCCTGCTTTCTTTTGGAGAAAAAAAAAGCGCTGCCTTTCTGCTTCAAGGGACTTAAAAGCAGATCTCGCTTCGGTTGTGGAACGCCCTCGCATGAGATGTCAAGGAAATAAACAACTATCTGACTTTTAGAAGACATCTGAAGGCAGCCCTGTTTAGGGAAGTTTTTAATGACTGTTTCAAGGTATTTTTAATATTTTGTTGGAAGCCGCCCAGAGTGGCTGTGGAAACCCAGCCAGATGGGCGAGGTATAAATAAATAAAATAATAGATTTTTAGAGAAATGGACACTACGTTCCCCTTTTCTGAAAGCGCATGCTCTTGGGGTCTGTGACTCTCCCGCTCCCATCAGCCCCTGCCAGTGGTTAGAAGTGGTGGAATTTACAGCCCTGACATCTGTCGGTGCCCTGGTTCCCAGTCCCTGAATGACTGAGCCAGTCTTTTTGGCAAGGTGCTCAGACACCAAATACTGCAGCTGTCTGAGAATTACAGACATAGCAAAATAGAGGAGGGCATTCCTCAAGTTTGATCGTTGCACCAGGGTATGAAGTCCAGAGATAGCTTCCTGCTAGCAAAGCATTTGGCCCAGGCATACAGCTACTTTCTTGGATCCCTTCCAAATGGTGTTCTGTAAAGTAACCAGAAGGTATTTCCTGCACTATGACTAGGAAAGAGCAAAAGCAGCGCCACTACATGGCGTGAAGCTTTACCTTTTGCTGATATAAACCGTAATTGTTTACAGGGAATGACAAGACTCTCGGCGCTCTGTGAAGGAAGTCTTTAAAGCAGTGGCACCCATCTGGACGGGACTTTGGGGAAGAAGCCCCAAAACCCTCGGATTGGAGTGTGACTGTTACGCCACAAAGCCATGTGGTGTTATCACTGGTACATAAAAGGCATGGAATTAAAAATGAGAAGTCGTGTGATGCATATGTGCCTTCAACCATTTATTTCATTGCTTGTTTTCATTACTCTCATTAGATTACCGCAAATGGGATCCAGTTAATTTCTTCCTCTGTTCTGTGCCTGTGTCCTTAACACTGTTGGAGGATGTGATTCTAGAACATGCTTCTGGCCGTGAATAGTAAAGACAAAAGCAAAGGGCAGAATGGAGTAAAGTCTTACCGGCTGAGATTGCAGCATTTGCAGTCTCAAGGGGGAATGCAGTAATAGGGTGGCCTCCAAATCAGAAATGCAAAATGTTTTCTATGCAGCTTAATAATATCCCAGTTGTTTTTTTAAAACTTCCTTTGGGAATCCGATACTCTTGCTAGAAATCCTTGGCAAAATTTCTGTCCTGCAGCAAACTGTGTGGCTATATGAGCCTTAAAGATGCTTTTCAGTGGCTACATTATGATAGGTGCTTAAATTTCTCGTTCAACGAGATGCTAGAACCTGAAATAAAAACCTAATTTCTCCTCCTGGAGTAGTGCTTTCTCTGCATAACATCCAGAGCTACATCTGCAAACCTGGAAGGGAGGGGGAGGAGGAAGGAATATCAGCAAATGATGATGTAACCCACAGCAGCAGCAGCAGCTTCCTTTTCCTATGTCCTCCCTTTCCTTTTTCAGCAGGCAGAATAGGAATATCCATGTTGTATATAATGGCTGTGAAACCTTCCAATGGCCTCAGAGTGAAATTGGTGGTGGTGGGGCACACAACTGCAGACATGCATCTTCAGGTTCCCACTCATGCCTTTTTTTCATTTGCAAAAGCCGTTATTCTACTGCAATTTTGGTTTCATGGTGAACTGACCCCTTTCCTACAAGTCATATGCACACAACCCTGCTGAAAAATTAGTTCTGAGCCAGGCATCACTAGACACAAATCTTGTAAATTATATGCAGTTAATGCTTCTTTTTCTTTTTAATTAAGAACACTGCAGAAGACCAACAAAACCAGACAGATCAACAGGCAGATTAAACAAACAAGCTCATACCAATCAGATGGTAGAAAATTTATGCTCCTATCTATCTAATCCAATTATGATATTAACATACTGGGGGCATTGAGAGTTGCAATATCCCATCTGAGTAAATCAGATTATAAATTGGATGTTACACTAGCAAGGGGAGTGCCTTTTTTCTCTAGTGAATGTGAAAATAGCATCAAGTGACTGAATCCCAGATTCATACAATAAGTTTGGGACTTCATTCCTTCAACATTGTTCTAAATATTGCAGAGACACAAGTTGGATAATATGAATCCCAACCTTTAAATTTAAGAATTGCCCCAAGCAGGCTTATTCTATGTAAACCTTTTATTTTCCATTAAGGGCTCTGGCAGGGTCTTAGAGTCCCTCCTTCTCAAAGCCTAGTTAGCACTTTTCCAGCCCTGCTGGAGGGGACCTTGGGATAAAATGAGGGAGCCATGTATGTCACCTTAACCTCCTTGGAGGAAATGATGGGGTATATTACATAGCTTTCCTTGTCCTGAAGCAACCTGTTTCAAACACCTTGTCCTATATAGAACTAAAGCTTTTAGTTCAGTAATGTTGAGCTAGCTAGTTATCAACAAGCCCCTGGTAGATTAGATGTTTGTTTAAACATCATGCTGTTCTCTTGAGCATTTCAGCATACACATGTCCTGCCCAATGTTTAGTCATGTTTGCAGTCATTAGAGGTTCCCAGTAGTGACAGTTACTCACCCAAATATTTTTTAACAAGGTATTGACAAAGATTGTAATCTCAGCAGTAGGCAAATAAGACATCAGTAACCCAGTCCTGTGATTTATGTTGGCAGCTGCTATGAAACCTATGTAGATGCTATTCATATGCACTCAGAATGCTGCCACAAAGCTGTTCAGGTTCCAAAGTCTATTCTGCCCATTAGCCTGCAGCCTCTCAAATGAACTATTCAATTTGCTATCTCCAACCAACATTGCATGCTTGGAATGTGATTTCCTAGTAGCAATAGGCATGCTTCTTAAGTAAATGGTACTGTCATTTTCTATAAAGGGTTTTAGTGGCATCAAGACTAATGCCAATGAAACAGCTGAACATAAAAGACAGTAATACATGCAACATTAGTTTTAGTTGATCCTCTAAGTGCATCCGCAGATTGCTATCTCTTGTGAAGCCAACAATGTAACTTCTCTTGCAAATATAGCAATCATTCAGCAATACCTTTGTGATTTACTTGCTAAGGGACACGGCCAGTGTTTAGTTCACAACATCAAATATACCAGTGTTGTAATGTTTCTGACATCAGTTAGTACCACTGTGAGCAGAGACCAGTTTAGAAGATGAAAATTACAGCTTGCTGAATTAAAAAATTGTAAGAAATTGTGTTAAGAGAATACTTGCCCAAGTAAACGTGTATTAGTTGGGACATTTGGATGTATTTCCCCCCCTTTAAGCAGTATAACAAGAAATTTATAGAGCAAATGCCTCAACATTTTCAGCTTAATGCCTTTCAAACAAGGCCTTAGAATTACCAGCTTTTATTCTTGGGCTAGAAGTAGGCAGCACTATTTGGATCTTACGGCTTCCCTCTCATAGGATCACACACTTTAGTACATCTCAAACTATGTTCAAACAGTAACTTAGTTAACTCAGAGGCCCCAACTTCTATCAGCCTCATTCAGCATAGTATATAGTCTGCTATGGTGATCGCTATGGGGAAGAACAAGTTCTCCATCCCCAAAGAATAGAATAAAGGTTACACAGACAGGCTTAATATTGCCCAACACCTAAGCCACCCCAAGGTTTGACAATGTTTTTAGGATTAGGACCTATCTGATCAGATTATAACATGCAAGGCTTTGCCTTGGGGGAGAAAACAACAAACTAGCATGTGGTTTAACTCGTTTTATTTCACTTTGCAAACAAAGTTGTCTTCAGTCCAGCTGGACTTGTGAGGGAGCAGAAATTGAAACCGAATAGAAAAGCAGCAAGTAAGTCAGGAGCACAAGGATTACAGGGGACTAACCCCAGCTACAGAAGGAATGGTTGATTGTTAAGACAAAGGAATTTTATGACAGCTGCCCACAGTCAGAGATGGTGATCTTCTTGCTTGTCTTGCCGTTCCTTGACCCAAAGCGCTCCATTGCTTCCACAATATTCATTCCATCTTTGACTTTGCCAAAGACCACATGTTTCCCATCCAACCTAAGGAAATAAATTGGTTAGAATTTAGAATGCTTTTGTGATTTTTGTTATTTCATAAAGCTGTTCCAAATACATTTAAGGCTACCATCCTGTCAACATTCAGAAGATTTTAGGGGACAGGCAGCAGGCAATAACTATGCTAGCCAAGAAATTATGCTTGGCTATTATGTTTGGTGTAACTTTAGACAAAACACAACCTTCTACTTCAGGCTCAGGGTATTCTATTCCATTTGAACTAATGCCTAAGTTCACTGTTGAGAGTCTCAAAGTACTCACCAGTCAGTTTTGGCAGTGCAGATGAAGAACTGAGACCCATTTGTATTGGGACCAGCATTTGCCATAGACAAGATGCCAGCACCTGTGTGCTTGAGGATGAAGTTCTCATCAGCAAACTTCTCACCGTAAATTGATTTACCACCTGTTCCATTATGACGAGTAAAGTCACCACCCTATAGAAAAACAATATACACATGTAGCTGAAACCTGACACTGGGTGATATATATATGGATTCAGGACAGAAGAGCAATTATGCAAGCAGAAAAGGTCAAAGTCTAGGGACCAGACTATCATAAATCGTAAAACATGACAAGGCAGGACTGTAATGCTTTTTATATGAATGAATCTCATCAACAGTGCAATTCAAATACTGTAAGACTAAAATCATAACTGCTACATACCTGGCACATGAACCCAGGAATGATTCTGTGGAAGCAGGAACCCTTGTAACCAAAACCTTTCTCCCCAGTGCTCAAGGCACGGAAATTCTCTGAAATCAGAGGCAGACATTTGTAAGAACAGCCTTCCACATTTTCTTAGATCCTTGAAAAATTACTTCCAACAAACATGCCTGGAGATGAAGGCACTTCAAATGTACAAACCTGCTGTCTTTGGAACCTTGTCTGCAAATAGCTGTGGGACAAAAACAGAAGTCAATTAATGACATTCAGTTTGAATAGACACGTTTTTACTTAACTCCCTTAATTTTCCCAGTCTCATTGATCCTTCTTGCTGTATTGCTTTACCAAGAGAACCACTGCCTTTTAAAATATTTAACCTGGGTGGTTATGGCGTATAACAATCATTCAAGCTATCCTGTTAACCATTTGTAGTTATCAGTGTCATTAATTCTAGCAACATGCACCAAAATATATGTATTGCAAGGGATGCTATAAATTGAAAACATCCTATTCTGCAAATCAAAACTGACTGTTGACTCATTTATCGAACTGAACTCTGCAGGAATAATACAAGGCAGAAGCTAATTGATAGGATCAAGGCACATTAGACTGATACAGCATGCTTATGCCTTAGATTGAAGAGCACTCTAGAGGGAGCTCTGACAAACCAGAATCCTTCTAGTCTTCTAATAAAAATGGTCGACTTAACTACAGTGGTGCCCCGCAAGACGAACGCCTCGCAAGACGAAAAACCCGCTAGACGAAAGGGTTTTCCGTTTTGGAGGCGCCATAAAACGAATTTCCCTATGGGCTTGCTTCGCAAGACGAAAGCCCATAGGGAAATCTCCGGTCCGCGAAGCCTGGGCGCGCTGATCTCAGCGCGCGCAGGCTCCGGCATGCCGGCAGCTCTCCGCGAGCAGCGGCAGCGCTGCCGCTGCTCGCGGAGAGGTCCGCTGAAGCCTGGGCGCGCTGATCTCAGCGCGCGCAGGCTCGGCATGCCGGCAACTCTCCGCGAGCAGCGGCAGCGCTGCCGCTGCTTGCGGAGAGGTCCGCGAAGCCTTGGCTGGACAGCTTTTGAAGGCAGGTGGGGGACAGACTTTCGCCCTCGCCAACCTTCAGAAGAGGTCCAGGACCTCTTCTGAAGGCTGGCGGGGGCAAAAGTCTTTGTCCCCCTGCCTGCCTTCCCAGAGGCTTTTAAATTGCCCCGGACAGCGGAGAAGTCCTCCGCTGTCCCGGGGCAATTTTAAAATGCCGCCCGCCAGCATTTTAAGATCGCCCCGGACAGCGGAGAAGCTCTCCGCTGTCCCGGGGTTTTTTAAAATGCTGGGGGTGGGAAGAAAGCCCTTGTCCCCCCCCCCCCAGCCTTCAGAAGAGGTCGGGGACAGACTGTCCCCGGACCTGGTCTGAAGTCGGCTCCCTAGGAACGCATTAACTGATTTTCAATGCATTCCTATGGGAAACCGTGCATCGCAAGACGAAAAACTCGCAAGAAGAAAAAACTTGCGGAACGAATTAATTTCGTCTTGCGAGGCACCACTGTACCATCTACTGCTAAATATTGAGGCCAGCTGCAATCAGGCAAAAACGATTTACTGTCTACTCACCATATTTATTACCACCAGTTAAAAGTGTAATCATAACAAATCTACTTTACATACAACTGCATTTTGTTTTGGCACAACTTTAGCTAGTGAACAAAAGACATCCAACAAGGCAGAATTTTCATAATTTGGAAAAGGCAGAAAGTGTTCCACCCACTTCCCAAATCAAATCGGCATACTGTCCATTTATTCTTTGCTGCAGTGACAGGACTCACGCCAGGTACAAATTAGCTGGACAACACTAGCGTGCACCGTGCTCAATCTGGCTCTAGCACCATTCGCATACGGGGTAAAACTTGCAACAGCCACCTCTATGGTGCAATCATTTGTCGCACTTTGAAACCCCGCACTGAAATCTAACCCACTTATTTCCCCCCGCACAAAGCAGACACGATCCATCAAAACGTTACAAGGAGCAGAAGTAACCTTTCATAGCCATCCCTAACCTCTGCGGTGGGCTTGGATGAGTGAAGATTTTCTTACTAAAATCGCGGGTCAAGGAAAACAAAGCTACACTCGCAGCTTTTCGGTGCACGAATCTCCTTGCTCCACGCAAGGCATTACCGTGAAGAAAAGGAGCAGGAAACCCAGCTAAGGAAATATGCACGGGAGACCGCAGCCCGCCATTTGGCGCTTTTGCTAGCAAGGAAAACCTGATCGGGAGAGGGGGGAACAGAAAGCCCGAGAATCCAGGCCTTGCCTATACCTCCCTTCATGCGATCTAAGAAGGGGCTCGTCCGCACAGCACTTGCATTATAATGTGGGGGGGGTCCGTTAAAGACGCCCGTAAGGCAATCCTTAAGCCTCGTTTCACTAAAAAAAAATGCCCTGCAAACTACCACGGAAAATAATCCAAACGTGGAGGCTAGCCCCCCCCCCACTGCCGCCCCCGGCCCTCCTCCCATCTCTGCAGCAAAGGCGTGGGGAGAATGGGCAGCGTCAGGGGCGAGGCGTGAAGAGCCTCGCCGGCGGCGACAACAGCCAAGGGCCTTGCAGGCGGCGTTAGCAGCCCGTCCCTTCCCCGCGCAGAGAAGAGCGAGAAAGGCGCGGCGGCGGCGGCGGCGAGGGAAACAAAGGCGGCGGCAGCCAGCAACCGCTTCCCCCAGGGCAGGCTGCGCAGGCCACGTGGAGGAGGCGACGCCCGTCCGCGCGCGCCCACTTCCCTTCCTCTGTTGCCGTCCCCCCCCCCCGGGCCGGGCCAGGCCGCCCGGGTGCGCGCGCAGCCCCTCTCGCGCCGCAGTGAGGCGATGGCGCCCCCTCCCCCCGCAACCGGCGCCCGTTGCTCCAAACCGCCCCCACCCTCCCCGTGCACACACACCGGTCCCAAAATGGCCCCGAACTCCCTCCCCGGCAGGAAATGGCGGCGGAGCCGAGTCCTCCTCAGGCGCGCCCCTCTCTCCTCGCTCCAGCCTTAACGGCTCTCTTCGTACCTCGAAGGTGACGCGCCCCAAGGGCTCGCCGTCGGCGCAGACGTCGAAAAACACGACCGGGTTGCCCATGATGGCGGGAATGAGTCGAATAAAGGAAGGGGGTAGCTTAAAAAAAAAGGGAAAAAAACCGGCGGCGGCGGTAACAGGCAGCACCAGCGTCAAACCCTCTCCACACAGTAAGGAGCTCGGCACAGCAGAAAGAACGGCGGCCGCTCGCAGGGCTTATATAGCCGGCGGACCCCCGCCTCCGCCTTTCCTCACGCGACTTTCGGCCAATCGCAACGAGGAGAGTTTCCAGATTGAAAGGGGCGTGGGGCCAGTCAGAGCTCTCGGTTCGGGGCGAGGGTGGGTGCTCGGGTGTTCCGCGCCTCTCAGTAAGGGCGTGGTCTCCGCGAGAGGCGGGAACCGAAGAAAGGTATGGGGGAGGGTTGTTTCTCCCCCCCTCCTTTTCTGAGCATGCGCGCTGTTGACTTGCACTGGGTAAGGCTAAGGTTGTCTGTTTGGAAGGAAGGAAGGGGTGGGGGATGGGGACGGGCCTGCCGGTTCCCCCCCCCCAAATCCCGCGCTTTTTAGTTCTGAGGAAGGAAACGGCTGTGGAAAGCAATGCAGGCCGCACGCCCGTTTGCTCGGAAGCAAGCCTCTCGGGCTCCAAGGCGGCTTCGTTGCCAAGGAGCAGGGCTTGAATGGCAGCCGTGTGGCGGGATGTGGCCGCGCAGGGAGCCGAGGCACGAGGGCGGGGGCCGAATCCAGGATGCAGAGATGTTGGGTGACTTGATTTGTGATGGCTGCTTGAACTCGGCTAAGGAGGAACCGGCGGGGAAGGAACCGAGAGGGCTGTGTATCTGGTCCGGCCTTGGAAGCGAAAATGGCTGTGTAAACGCACTAGCAGCAAACCAGTGATAGGTTTGGTTTATTTATTCATTTTTCAAGATCCAGGCTAACGTGTTTTTTTTTAAACTCCCTCGACCCACCCACCCCCACCCGCCTCAGACTTCTGGTCGACATGGAAAGCTTGCACACTGTTTTGCAACATCTGGAGGGGACCTAACGCCGCTGTTTGACCAGCTCTGGATTTTGGAAGGCCTCCACCTTTTTATTATGACGCTTGGATCTTTCCTCCAAGGTGCTTATGGGGACCATAAACGGCCCTGTTATTAATATATTTATTAATTACCCTCCCTTCAACCCAAGGTCCCAGGGTGAGTTACAGCAATTAAAACAAAATGTTCAGAATAGTTTACAACAACTTACAAGCCTCCAAATAACATGGCTCCGGAAAATATACCTCTCCTGTTCCTGTTTTTGAAAATGCAAATAAAAATTAAAAAAGAAAATATATCTTTCCGGTATCAAAAGCCAGGGTAAAGAGGTGTCTTCAGCATTTGCCAAAAGCCGTATAATAAAGATGCCCAGTGTGCTCCACCCATCTTTTTCATCTTCCCAACAAACCTGAGAGTTAAGTTAGGCTAGGACTACAAAGAGCGACTGGACCAAAACCAGCAAGTTAGGCTGTGTACACATTCCTGTTTACTCTCCATGTAATAGCCACAATCTATATTGTCTTGTTTCTGATGAAATGTTGCTCGCTGGAAACTGGGGGGCAGGGGGAGAGAATGATGCATTTTTTTTTAAAGCAGCAGTGCATACACAGCCTCTGTTTCATGTGGATTTGAATCTGTGTCTCCCCAGTCCTAGCCCAGTTTATGAAGCTATCAACTTCATGTAACTCAACAGCCCCTCATTTCAATTCTCTGGCCCTGGGATGTAATCTGGGATTAGGGTGGGTGCATTTCTGAGATCTTGGAGTCAACTGTTTCTCACCTGTATGTTCATTGCTTATTCATGACTCTTGTCCTGCCCTGCATAGTGCTGCCTCAATACTCAAAATAGGCACAGCTTCTTCTGGTGGTATTTTTGGCATGAAGTCATACATTTCTCACACATTTTTGACTCTCAGCTGTGCTTGCTTCTGAAGGAAGCCTGTTCGTATTAGTGAGTTTACTTTGGAGAAAAAGCCACTGGGGAACAGTAGCCTGTTTCATAATCGGCAAGAAGGCACTGTCACAAATTTCAGGGTCTTTTCACCTTTCAGTCATTAATGGTGTTTCAGCATGTACTGCTGTAATTTGATCTGACATTGCAGTTTCACTGAAGATAGGTGCTTCCCCATGTGTGAAACACTACAACCAACATGTAGGTTAGTGTGAGAACATAATCTCATTGATAAGTTTCTTGCATGTTAATGGCAATAACTAGTCTCTGCAAGTGAACTACGTTAGCTGTGTACAGGCGTAAATTTTGCAGAATTTATTTTGTGCTTTGAGGTGCACCAGCTGAAGTACACAGTAGTCGCTTGGGGTGGAGTCAGATGCAAAATGGTATCTTGGGGTGCAGCCACTTAAGTATCACATCCAAGTACACATCTACTTTCATGTGCAATTAAAGATCAGGGGCTTTAGCAGCCTAATTTAAAGTAGCCTTGTACATAATCCCACAAAGGTGACCAGCATGGAAATATATTTACAGTGATACATCGGGTTAAGAACTTAATTCATTCTGGAGGTCTGTTCTTAACTTGAAAGTGTTCTTAACCTGAAGCACCACTTTAGCTAATGGGGCCTCCTGCTGCCACCGCGCCGCTGGAGCACGATTCCTGTTCTCATCCTGAAGCAAAGTTCTTAACCCGAGGTAATATTTCTGGGTTAGTGGAGTCTGTAAGCTGAAGCATATGTAACCTGAAGCATATGTAACCCGAGGTACCACTGTACTGGCCTGTTGTGGCCTGCCAAGAAGGGGACAAAGGGATTGGTTCCTCCAACTGCATGCAGTTGGTTTTTGTTGCTGTTGCTATTGTCAAATCTACAAGCAATAAAGTGGTAGAACAGAGCTTTCCAAACTCTGCGTCACGACATGTTTGTGTGTAGGTGTGTCGCACAAATGCTCCCTCCTGGCCCTGGAAAGGGTTCGTTTAACCTCCGGTTTGCTAGTAAAATTGAATTACTGTGTCACGAAATGATGCATGTCCAAAAAGCATGTCACCAACTTGAAAAGTTCTGTGGTAGAGCCTCATCTACTTTCTGTCTACCCCTGTGTTAGGAAGAGTATCACTGTGGATTTGGAACTAATGAGGGCTTTCTTCACACTTCGCTCCAAAAGTAGTCCGTTACAGTAGCAGCAACCATGCTCCCTCCAAACCAAATAGCGACACCTTCCAGAGAAATTGTTAATACAGCCTGAATAAAACTTACCACCCACAGAAAGCTTTAAAGTCAACAGAATTGAGGCATAACTTGGGAACATTTTGGAGTGGCAGAAAAACACAACCTCTCCCATTCATCACTGATTATTAAGTACTAGCAGAGCATCATAGGTTCCTAGGCAAAATACATACAGTAATGCCTTTTCTTTTGTGTCTGTAGGAATCTGGACAGGCTAACTTGACTATTGATTCCAGCAATAAAGTTCTCCTCAATCCTATCCCATGTTTCAGGAGTACCTGTAGCCCTCCAAATGTTGCTGAACTGCCCCTCCCATCATCCTTGACCGTTACCCATGCTGGGTGGAGTTAATGGGAGTCGTGGGCGTAGCCATGATTTTTGTTAGTGCAGGCAGGCCTGGGGGGGCGGGCAGAACCTCAGTTTGCTATGTATTTTTATTGATTTGGGGGGGGAGCTGCCCCACCTTGGCTACACTCATGGCTGCAGTCCAGTAACATCTGGAGGGCTCTGGGTTCCCTACACTTGCTGTATATACAACAAAGCAGTCATTTTGGCATCCTTCAAAAACTAAAAGGGCTTTCCCTCTTGGGACCTCCTGGGTATCATGGCTTCTTTGTCCCACTCAGATTGGAGCAATGAATCAATCAAAGCTCCCTCCAGCTAGTTGCATTCCCACACATGCCTTTGGGTGCATAGACCCTATACATTCAAGGTTCACACACTGTGGAATCCTGGGAACCATAGTTCTGGGAGTTATAGCTTTGTACAGGGTAAACTAAACTTCCCAGGATTCTTTGGAGTGGGAGAAATGCACCTTAAATATATGGTATGCACACAGTCCCAATTAGTTACCCTACCAGGAAGAATTACATAGGGCTTACAGTCAGTTCTCTGCCTCCAGTGAGCTTCTGCTTCTTGAACAGCAAGTTGTTGCCCATTTGTTCTTGCTTCATAGCTAGCCTTAGGCACAGATCCTGCACTCTTGCCAGATCCTTTTGTCTCAGCAGCAGCCAGCTCCCAATATTGCCATATTCCATGCAATTTTTAGCAATGTTAAGGACACTGTATATAACATTTGTAACCCACCAACTCCTTTTTAAAAAAATCACAGCAATGTACAATAAATCATTAAAACATCATAAATGCAGAACAAATGAGCAACACTTACTGAAATTAGTCCCACTAGCAAGACAGAAACATTTTCAGGTGACAAAATATCAGGGGCCTGTCAGATTTCAATAGGAAAAGTGTCCCAAATTACTGTTGGCACTATGCTAAAAGCCTCAATTCATGTCAAAGCTAAATAAATAACTGTGGGACAGTTGGGAGGGCTTCTTCAGGTGATCACAGTGGCTGGCCAGTTTGTAAGGGATAATGTGATCTTCTAGGTAGCCTGTTCTTTAGCCATTTAGGGCTTAATACACCAACAGTAATACCTTAAAACTAGCTCAGTAATGTACTGGCAGCAGTGTAGCGCTTTCAATGCAGGTATAATATGGTGGTGTGGAGCTGTTCTGGCCAGAAGCTGGGCTATAGCATTCTGTGCAAGCTACAGTTTCCAAACCAACCTCAAGGGTAGCCCCACATAGAACACATTGCAGTAGTTCAGCTTACATGTTCATATGCACTTAAATGGAAATGGAAAAACAGGCCCAGCAATCAGAACCTATGCTGTCATGGAGATGTCACCTAAAGACCCGTCACTGTCAAAGCTGATCACTGCAACATTATTTCTGATTTAATTATTGTTGTTTTAAAAAAACTGTAGGCACCTGTCTAGGAATGTACAAGGCGACAGATGCTAATTTTACTATATTTACTTTATCTTATCATTTTCTACAGCAAAAGTGTGCTTATTCCCAGGGAAATGTGTTTAGCAATCCGGAGGGGGACTCAAGACACATTTGTCATTGCAGTAGCCATACGGGTTCTTTGATTTAAGTGAGTTTTTAAACACTGAAACTGCGCATGCTCAGAGAACATTTTCTTTTGGCAGGGTTGGCTGACTGTTGTGCGTTTTTTGCTCTAACTTATTAGGGATATAGAAGGAGTTGTGAAACATGGGCCAGTTATGGAGAAAGGGAGAGGAAAAATTACTTGTATGCTTCACAACTAAAGTACACATGGCCAGCTAAAGCCACTGCCCCCTGAAAGATAATTAAGGCCGTGTACACACCATACATACAAGGCATATCTCTCCCAAAAGAATATGGGAACTGCAGTTCACCCCTCCCTGCACCCTTAAACTACAATTCCCAGGATTCTTTGAGGGTAAAGTGTGCTTTAAATGTGATAAAGTAAAGGTAAAGGGAGCCCTGACCAGTAGGTCCAGTCGTGGCCGACTCTGGGGTTGCGGTGCTCATCTCGCTTTATTGGCCAAGGGAGCCAGCGTACAGCTTCCGGGTCATGTGGCCAGCATGACTAAGCCGCTTCTGGTGAACCAGAGCTGTGCACGTTTACCATCTTGCCGGAGCGGTACCTATTCATCTACTCGCACTGGTGTGCTTTCAAACTGCTAGGTTGGCGGGAGCAGGGACTGAGCAATATTTTATTTATTTATTTACGGCTATTAGCCCATAAAGTATGTACAAACATAAAAGCACAGAGGCATAAAAACTAATATATTCGGCACCAGAAGGTGAACACCATGATGCAGGGGTGGGTCATTGAGCAGAGCCAGATAACAGCTAGGGGCCCGGAGAGCTCCAAGGGACGGATCCCTGAAAAGGAGAACTGAAGACGGGATCCGACATGCACTCTCTTCAAAACTGTCCGATTAGTTTTTGATGTTGTTGTTTTTGGTGGTTTTTGTGTGTGAGATAACTGCATTCAGGAATCTCGCCACCTGCAGAGTTACAGAAGGATCTGTATCCTGCAAAAGTAGTGCGGCATGTGACTCAGCAGGCCTGCCAACCAAGCGCAGTAAAGCAGGGCCCAGGAATTTAGTCCTGGCTATGCTATGTCGGGGACAGTTGAACATTATATGTGAGAGAGAATCAACAGTTTTCCCGTCACACACGCATAGCGGAGACACCAAACCCTTGGAAAATCTGTGGCTCAGCAGGTTCGATGGAAAGACATTGAACCTTGCACGAATAAATGCATGTCGGTGTGGTACAGATGAAAGAGATGACATGTATGATGGAAGGCCAAGTGGTGAGGTTATTCCGTGATACCTGGGGGAGCAGACACCCTCACCCCCGGCGAGGTTGTGTTGATTTTCAATGTCTGCTAATCTCTGCTCAATAAGTCTTTTGGCTGAGCGTAAGTTCATCTTTAAGGAATCCGCTGGGGAAATTCCGATGCTCAGAAGTTTGGCATGGATTTTTCCTACCCATGGATTGACAAAGTCGTCCCGCCAGAGGCACTGAAAAAGGTAATGGTTGGGAAGCCTGTGCCAGCTGGACAGCCAATAGCCAAAGACTCGCTTCCAGATGACCGTCTCCAATGATGCAATCCTTAACTCCAGACGTATGGCTGCGTTGCTCACACACATGGGGAGTTTCAGGAGGCGACGGAGAAACTGATTCTGCAATGTCCCCAACGATGTTAAATTGGACCCTGGGGCCCAGAGCGGGGCAGCATAACAGAGGGTGGAAACCACTTTTGCATGGTACACCTTCAATGCAGAAGGGATGTGGGAGGCTCCGTCGGCCGCAAAAAATTGGAGTAGAGTATAAAGTATTGTTTTCCCTTTGTTTAGTAAATACTGTATCTGTGGCTTCCAGCTTAGGTTGTAGTGAAAAAAGACTCCCAGGTATTTAAATTTGAAAACTTGTTCTAATTGGACTCCATCTAGGAGCTCACCCCATCACGGGGATTCGAACCACTGACCTTCTGATCGGCAAGTCCTAGGCTCTGTGGTTTAACCCACAGAGCTCCACCCGTGTCCCCTTTAAATGTGATACTTGTGCATTAAATGTATGGTATATATGCAGCAATTATAATGGCGTTCCGTCAGGTCTGTTCTTAACCTGAAACTGTTCTTAACCTGAAGCACCACTTTAGCTAATGGGGGCCTCCTGCTGCTGCCGCGCCGCCGGAGCTCAATTTCTGTTCTCATCCTGAAGCAAAGTTCTTAACCCGAGGTACTATTTATGGATTAGCAGAGAGTGTAACCTGAAGCATCTGTAACCTGAAGCGTATGTAACCCGAGGTACCACTGTATATGCAGCACAAGACCAGGTTGCAGACTGCAGTTTTTGTCCTGCTCTTCCCTGTGACTTTGTTGCTCTCTTAGTTGCTGGTCTAGCAGTTTGTGATCATCTTTGGGTTCCCTCCCTGCCTTGCTGATCAAGGCATTTTTCTAGCATGGGCAGCAATTATATATAGGTGACCTAGTGCTTTCCAGGGAAGGATGTCACAGCTGCTTTGGCTAAAGTGAGAGCAGGAACTCAAATCCCAATTCCAGAAGCTGAGTGGTAACTCAATATGGGGCGAGGCTCCTGTGTCTGTCCAGTAGTGCTGCAGGAGGTAGAATTGTTGCAGCTAGTTATACAGAATTTGCAAAGTAGTAGCATTGGAGGTTTAATAGTGATAGGCTTTTCAACAACTGCAGCACCTGTGGTTGGGAGAAACTACGTCTGTTCTAAGTATCCATTATATGAAACATTGAAAACGCCCAGGAAAGCTGTTCCCTTCTAGCTTTCCTCATCCATCCCATGCTTATTCTTGTTCCATTATTATTAAAGTGCCCAACCATAAAGAATAATTGACTAGATTGCTGCAGCCACATTAAAATCAAGAATTTCAAAACAGGTGGCTGATACCAATTCTATGAAAATGACAGACATGATTTCAGAGAATCAGACAGTGCAATTTTGCTAAACAGTGGTACTGTCAAATGGTTTTTTTCATAAGGAGTTCTAGAGGGTGGTCTTTACTTTGGAAAAGTAAGGGGTTAAATGTAGCTTTCAAAAAGCTCTAGCAGTCATCTTAAAAGAGGAGCAGGAGATGTAACTGTCATGTGATTTATTGCATTAAATTGAATATTTTGTAGCATGCATTTACTTACTTATAATGTAATTTTAAATTTTCATTGTATACTGCCCTGAAATGCATTTTTTGGTAAAGGGCAGCTTGTAAAATTTTAAAATAAATAGCTATTCCGATTTCTGACCATGAGTCCAACATTTCCAGGTTATGTAGCACAGATTAGCACAAAGGAGGCAAATGAGTACCACTCATGTTCCCTTTTTGTGTAGCACCAGCATACCTTGCAGAGCTAATATACTGAAGTAAAAAGGTAAAGGGACCCCTGACCGTTAGGTCCAGTCATGGCTGACTCTGGGGTTGCTGCACTCATCTCGCTTTATTGGCCGAGGGAGCCGGTGTACAGCTTCCGGGTCATATGGCCAGCATGACTAAACCACTTCTGGCGAACCAGAGCAGCACATGGAAACACCGTTTACCTTCACGCCGGAGCGGTACCTATTTATCTACTTGCACTTTGATATGCTTTCAAACTGCTAGGTTGGCAGGAGCAGGGACTGATCAACGGGAGCTCACCCTGTCGCAGGGATTCAAACCGCCGACCTTCTGATCAGCAAGTCCTAGGCTCTGTGGTTTAACCCACAGCGCCACCCGCGTCCCATAATATACTGAAGTAGGCTTCCAAAAACATCCCAGCCTTCCAGTGATTTTATATAAAGAGGCTGTATAACTGATATTAGCGAACATTATTCCCCTATTGCCAGTTCACTTGTAACCATATTACATATTCACTGCAAGCAAGCCTTCCATCTGGAGAGTCCCTTAAAGCAGTGGTGAGGAAGCTTAGGCCCAGTAGTTGAATGAAGTGCTCAAGGCCTCTCCTGTCAGGCCCTGAGGAATCCCCAGGCCATACCCCTCACTGGCTCCCCTCTTGCCCTTAAGCACTTTTGCCTCATTGGAATGTTTAGATTATTTAGCAAAATGTATATCCCTCTTGATTGATGTAAAACCACTAAGCAGTTTACGAGAAATATAGCTTAGTCAGTCGAGCAAGGGTCGTGGATCCCATGTTGGGCAAAAGATTCCTGCATTGCAGATGGTTTTTAGATTATTTTTAGATTATCTAGATTATTTTTGTGGTCCTTTCCAACTCTGATAAAGTTTCCCCTTACCTGCCTTAGTGGATCAAGGCTCAGCAACTGCACATGAAAAATCTGATGCATATGTGCATATGCAGTGCTTGCACCAGATTGGTGTGTATGCAGCCCTGCTTTTCAGAATAATTTTATTAGTCTGTTTCACACGCGCGCACACAAATCTGCATACTCCAGTGCAACCCCATCAAACCCAGTGGAGCTTACTTCCTATGGATAACTTCATAGGACTTGGAATTCTAATCTGAGGTAGCCAGGATGAAAACTGAAGCAGGGTTCCTCTTTATGCTGGATTAGTTAATCCAGGATATTTTGTTTCTGGCTCCGCCCATCAGCTCTGGCTGTGGCTCTGCCCACCACTGACATGCTTTCCTGGCCAATTACCCGCAAGTGATTGTGGTTCCTAGCAAGAAAAAATGCTGCTTAAGCCTGTCTTAGATAAGAGATTTTTTGGATGTTGTATTCATTTTCATGTTGTGTACCGGGGGGGGGGCGGGCGGTGCTGGAAGATTTACCCTACCATTTGTTGGGTTGCACAGTTTAGTGGGTAAGTAAGACTTGGGTGGCGCTGTGGGTTAAACCACAGAGCCTAGGACTTGCCAATCAGAAGGTTGGCGGTTCGAATCCCTGCCACAGGGTGAGCTCCCGTTGCTCGGTCCCTGCTCCTGCCAACCTAGCAGTTCAAAAGCACGTCAAAGTGCAAGTAGATAAATAGGTACCGCTCTGGCGGGAAGGTAAACGGCGTTTCCGTGTGCTGCTCTGGTTTGCCAGAAGCAGCTTAGTCATGCTGGTCACATGACCCAGAAGCTGTTTGCCGGCTCCCTTGGCTCTGGTTCGCCAGAAGCAGCTTAGTCATGCTGGCCACATGACCCGGAAGCTATACGCCGGCTTCCTCAGCCAATAAAGCAAAATGAGTGCCACAACCCCAGAGTTGGCCACGACTGGACCTAGTGGTCATGGGTCCCTTTACCTTTACCTTAAGACACAGGTATCTTGAACAGATTCTTGCTGGGACTCTCTGTAAGATCGAACAATTTTTATTTAGCAAACAGCCAAGAATGTGTTTTTTACAACTGAGTCCCCCCCTCCCACCACCACTCTTGTAAATCAAGTAGACTATTTTATTGATCAATAGCTCTGTATAGAAGTTGACTTCCAGTGTATCAAATAATGTTTTTTGGTCATGACCTATGGGCAGACCAGGTCTGCATCTGATGTACCTATTTTGGCTTTGATTTTGTATTGATATTTTTATACAGTTGCTACGGCTTATAACCAAGCGACTAAACCAACTTACCTATTTAAGAACTGGACCGTTTTATTGGAATATAAAAGAGAGCAGCTCATATACAGTGGTGCCTCGCAAGACGAAATTAATCCGTTCCGCGAGAGTCTTCGTCTAGCGGTTTTTTCGTCTTGCGAAGCAACCCTATTAGCGGCTTAACGGATTAGCGCTATTAGCGGTTTAGCGGCTATTAAAGGCTTAAAGGCTTAGGGGATTAGCTGCTAAAAGGCTATTAAAGGCTATTAAAGGCTTAGCAGATTAGATAAAGGGGGAAGCGAAAAATCTCTAGACTCGCAAGACATTTTCGTCTTGCGAAGCAAGCCCATAGGGAAATTCGTCCTGCGAAGCAACTAAAAAACGGAAAACCCTTTCGTCTAGCGGGTTTTCCGTCTTGCGAGGCATTCGTCTTGCGGGGCACCACTGTATAGTGTGGTGCTGATAATGCCAAGGCTGCAGGTTTGATTCCTGTATGAGGCAGTTACATATTATTGCATTGCAGGGCGTTGGACTAGATGATCCTCAGGGTCCCTTCCAACTCTACAATTCTTCGATTTTGTGATTTTTGGTGAGCATTTTTAAGGCAGGGGAGGGGAACCTTGGGCCCAGGAGCCACGTGTGGCTCTCCAGGCCTTTCTATCTGGCCCTTGAGACTCCCCCCAGGCCATACCCCCTCATTGGCCCTGTTTAACACCCGGCATATTTTTTTGCCTGGCTGGAATGGGTCCTTGAACTCTGCTAATGCTCTTTACCTGTCTGGATATAGGCTAGACTAGAGATGGGTGAGTGAATGTGCATAGAAATGACAGTATGGTACAAATGCAAAATTCACATTCATTGCTCTGCCCAATTTCGCCTCTGGTCTTGGAAGGCTGCTGAAATATACTCAGAGTCGAGTGTGGATTTCATGCTCTTTATTCAGGTCATAGAAGTGAGGAATGAAAGTTCCCCCAAAATATCTGCTTTATATACATTATTTACACAAAGGGCTGCACGTGACTGGCTAATTCCGGGATTCTCCTGTAGGCCAATCAGGTTGTGGATTCACTTCCACCTGGAGCTGGATTGGGTGGCTCCTGCGGACCAATCATACTGCTGCATTGTTCTAGGATCAATCAGACTGCTGCATTCTGAATCCTATTGTTCTAAGACCAATCAGACTGCTGCATTTTGGGTCCTATTCAACTCAGTACATAACAGCTGCCCAGAAGGGAATGCAGCCCTCAGGCTGAAGAAAGCGTCCCACCCTTGCTTTAAGCTACCTGGGATGCTGCTCTGCGGGAATCGGCCCATTGCAACATAAAGGCAGCTATGTTAGCAGACAGTTGTGTAGCAACATGATAGGGGCGTGCCACTGACTCACACTTCCTGCCCTTCCACTGTGGCTTCCATCTTATCACACTCCCCTTCCTGGCTGTTGGGAGTTCCCTTTTCCTTCCAACACCTGTTACACTAGCTGTGTGATGTCCAGATTGCAGTTTTGGAAAGAAAGAAGAAAGGCTTGCCTCAAAATTCCCAATCAAGAAAAGGGACCACAAATGGTATCTTCCTGTTCTTCTGATTAAGCTATAAGGTTTCCCCGATCAATAACACTTTCTGGTTTATACTTCCCCTAAGAGAGTTAGTTTGTGTATACTGTACACCGCACTTTTTAAAAAAAATTAAGTAAATAAACCGCTTTGAGGGTTTCCCCCCTACAATCAAGTGGTATATAAAATTTATGAAGTAAATAATAATGCATTTAAAGCACATTGCTCCCCCCCCCAAAAAAATAATTTATGGGAACTGGAGTTTGCCACTCACAAAGCTACAGTTCCCATAATCCTGAATGAACTACAGTTCCCAAGATTCTTGAAAGCAAGCAGGCAAAGTCATGTGCTTTAAATGTTTGGCATGTGTACGCAGCCCTAATGTGGTATTGCAGTTAAGAGTGTTGGACTAAGTTCTCACTTGGCCATGAAGCTTATTGGGTTGCCCTGGACTAGTCGTTCTCAATGTAACTTGCACCCCAAGACTACCGCGAGGACGAAGATCGGCGAGAGGGGAAGAAGACAAAGTGTACACCAAACTCCTTGGAGGAAGGATAGGATAAAAATAGGATGGTAATATATGGACAGCTGCCACATATCTAAAGCCCATCTTCATATCCTAGACACAGCAGTGAAATTTCAGTAATACAATATTGTAATGAAGGAATGATTATGCCCTTGTAAGTTTGGAAAAACAGAAATGTTACTCAGTTGTGGTGCTCTAGTGCCGCAGCTTTCTAGATGCATTCTAAGGTATGTCTCAGACCAAAAGTGACTGGGCAGCTAGTTTTTTGTTGTTGCTGAATAATACCAAGATGCCCAAAATGTAAAAGGTAGTCATGTTGGCCCATAAGAAAAATTCCAAAAGGGCAATACCTTGAAGAGGCTGACCAAAATATCACAAAATAGCATGCAAGCTTTTGAATTTTCCATAACTTTTTATTCGGGAGCAGGGGAGGTAAGAGAGAAAGAGGAAAAGTAGCTGAGGTTGAAGCAAAACATCTTAGGTTGAAGCGAGTAGGTAATAAATGAAAATTACATTTTTAATTTCAACTTCCGTTATTGCAGGATGGATCTGATGGGAGTTGTAGTTCAACAGCATCTGGCGAGCATCCAGTCAGAGAAAAAGGTAACAGATCATAGACATGGCTTTTATAACTGATTGTTTTTATCAGTATTAGAAACTGAGATATGAAAGCTAGGAGCTGAATAGCACCTTAAACCTATGTTATGGGTGCAATAACTGAATATCTAGGTGCATGTTTTTTTATAACAAGAATACAAAACTGAAAATGAATGAACTGCAGCTAAAATATTATGTTCATCTAGTCCATCCCCTGCCTACCTCCCTAATATTCTTAAGAGGGTCTCTTCTCCAGGCTTCAGACAGTAGCTGGAAATGGGGAGGCAGAAAAAGGTCCTCCTTTCCTTCCACTCTGCGGTTTTAATCTGAAATCTTAGGTGCCCAGGGCTCAGAAACTGCTTGCGCTAATGAAATCCCCTGTCGCAAAATGTCCCTAGAACAATGGGAGTTTCAAACATTGGTTTTGATACCTTGATACACACCAGTGGCATTAATCTGATTATTTTAAATCTTAAACATACTCATTTGAAATACATTCTTTGAACACATTCCTTTGAAATGTGGGGATTTCTTCCAAGTAAATGAACCAAGGATGGGGGTGTTAAATCTCTCAGTGATTAGTGAAGTGCACCATTTGAAGGAATACGGTTATGGTGGGAATGAACCTAGAAAACATCACAATAACCAAGGGAGATTGGGAGCAATTCTCATAAGACAAACAGGCCAGAATAAATAGACACACAAATTGGACATGAGGAACAGGCTTTTGCATTTGCATTCTCCCAGGACCCTCTGCCACTGACTTTAAGGTGCTTGTTATTGAGCAAAAGAACTCCAAAGGGAGGTTGCAAACTTTAAACCACTGATTTACAATTTATGAGGAAGTTCCATTTTATCACCTCTGGCTTGAATCAGTTTTTTAAACAATCACACTACACCAGTTAATTCTCTTACCAATTGAAGGATGTTTGTGTTATCACCAGCCCTGCTTTGTGAATGGCAACTGTTAAGTCTGTTAAGTCATTTCCCTCTAAACTCACATTTACAATTATCCGCCACCTGAAACTTAGGCTAACACTTAATTCATCTGAAGAAATGGACTGCAGGCTACAAAAAAACTTATTCTTTAATAAATTTGTTAGTTAAGTGCTACAAGACTCTGTGGCTTTTGTTTCAACAGACTTACATGGCTACCCCTCTGGACAAAGTTATTATAGTAAAGAATTACAGGATTGTGTCTCAAACTGTGTTAACATGTACCTTGGTGATTCCTGGTTCTGCTCTTGATCTTGCTGTCATGCATTCCTATAAAATTCATGCACACAGCTCCACTGTAGCGTTCTACTCTAGTTTAACCCTGATGCATATTTCGTGCAGCAAAGAATCTTATATCTCACCCATAACTCCTTAATCCTAGGAAAGTGGGGTTTGAATTTCAGCCTGTCAGCTTTTATCACATTTCCATTTGCAAACAACAAATGACACTAGTTTACAATTCTACAGGGCCATGTAAATGTGCCTCTTGAATCTTTTCCTGCAATTTTAATCCAGAATTTAGGCACTGCTAAAATACAGTATCGTAACATAGTCGGCTGGAAACATAGGTGTGGAGGCACTCCTATATACAGTTATATAGGAATAAGCCCATCAGAAGCAGTGGGCCTTACTTTTAAATAAACATACTTAAGGCTGCATTTAAAGTCCCTTTAATTTTTTATCATGCATCTTAATTACAGAAGCCAATGGATTATCTCTGCATTGCATCCAAGCAGCAGTGAAACTGGCTTAGTGCAAGATACCCAGATTTTATAGCTATTGAACTTGTATCTTTTTACAACTTCTCGAAGCTGAGTTAGAACCTGTATTTGGGGGAAATGCAGTGGGAAGAGGTACCTGCGTTCCTTATGTTCTGGCTAATTTAGAGCTGGAAGGAAAGAAGCCTGCCGTCTTATATTCTAATTTATTCATTTACCTTATTGCACATATTCCACATTTCCTCCAAGGAACTCAGAGCAATGTACAAACCAATCCTGTTCCAACTCTGTTAAAATATTTTGTGAATGACAACTAATTACCACATCCATCGTTGGGCAATATTTTTATTAAGACCAACCAAGTGTCACAAAGTGTAGCAAGCTTTTCGTTAGGCACTGTGTTCCTCAAAGCAGAGGGTGAGGGAGGGATGAGAAAAAATAATGGAGAATCCTCAGTGTAAAACCTAGTAGGTCTAGTGCCAGCGGTTAGATAGATCAGACACTGGCTGAGGGCAGGGGCGTCTTACCCATAGAGGCTAGTGGCGCGGGGCGCCAGGGTGCCAAATTCTGGAGGGCGCCAGGGAAGAGTTGGAGGTTGGACGCGGCACCTCCCGGCATCAGCTCGCCGCCCTCGTCCGCCTCCGCCATGCCACGCTGAAGCAGTGCCGCACCCAGAGTCTCCGTATGCTGTGGCCACTGCAGCACGAAGTGGACAGCTGAGCCGGGAGCTGCCGTGTCCAGCCTCTACCTCTTCCCCGCCGGGGGAGCCACCCTCCAGCCGCTGCCCGCCTCCTCCAGCCCCGCCGGCAGCACTGTCCTCCCTAAAAAAAGGTGGACAACTCTGGGAAATGGGGGGGGGGGGCAAATATGCTTAAGATGGCCCTGGCTGAGGGTTCCGGGGGGATTGGTGTGGATCTGCCTTGAGACTGAGGAGAAGGTGGCAGACAACTAGTGCCTCCCCTTCGACCGATTGTATGGAGGCAGGCAGGTGAGGGTAGGTTAAGGACAGACAGCTTGGTGGGGCAGTTCCCCCATTCACCCTAATGCACGAGCCTCCGCTGGGTCTCCCCACGATTCAGTTCCCCAACAGAAGAAATCGAGCATAGTCACCTCTAGAAGTGGTTCTGTGAGCATAAATGTATAAAGACAGGGGAGCACATTGCACAATAAGATGCTACACAGAAGGTCTTAGTAGTCCTTTAAAAAACAATATATTTATTTGTACTTTGAAGTTTTCATTTTATATGGTATTTTAGTTGCGTTTGTGGTGAGCTGCCCTGAGAATTTATGTTATAGGGCAGTGCTAGGAATTCAGTTAGTTCATTAATAACTAAGAAAGGCCATGGACTTCTTCTGTAGAAGCCATCTGTCCATCTCCCTGCCAACCTGATCATCAGCCTTGAAAAGCCATGGCAGGCTGTATTTTGATCCGAACTGATAGCAGCACAATGACTGTGCATTCAGTGAGTGGGTGGAGAGAGCAGTGATGTTTGGTTCTGCATTTCCCTAGAGATAATCATGCAACAAGAATGAAATCAAGTTATTTTGTGGCTAGGAAGATGCTTGCTATCCCAAGGAGTTCATAGCTGTGGCACATTAGTGCAAGCAGTAATAACAGAAATTCTCCACCAACAGCGAATAGCTACTGCTATGGGATAGGAGCAATCACTGGGTTCGGTCAAGCTTCCAGAAGCCCCATATTTAATTAGCCTGACGTGGGAGATGTGTGAGAAACGCTAAAAGCCTTTCTCAGCAGTGTAGTGTCCTCTGGGCTAAGCAGCAAAAGTTAGTAGGCAGCTGTCCTTAGATAACACTGTGATGCAGTTGCAGCAGGAGCTGTGGGTGGGAAGACCCAGAGCAAGCATAGAAGAGGTTAGCAAGATGGCCACACAAAGAAATCAAGGCTCTGGCAAACTGGATCTGCCTTTAAGAGAGACTGGGAAAAGGAATCCAGAACTTCCTCTTCACACATTTGGCTGCGTACAGGCTGCCTGGAGCATGTGTACCACTCCCCAGAGTGCCTTTTTGTTACCAGGCAGTTACATGTAAGTAGAAAGGGTCATAGCACAGAGACTGACCACATGCTAGGCAGGTTCATTTTTCAGCATGTCCAGCTAAAGTGGCAGGTCTTGTCTTTTTGGCATCTACTGAAGGCCTTCCTATATATTCCTATGTATACCTGAAGGGGCATCTCCACCTCCATCGTTCTGCCCGGACACTAAGGTCCAGCGCCGAGGGCCTTCTGGTGGTTCCCTCACTGCGAGAAGCAAAGCTACAGGGAACCAGGCAGAGGGCCTTCTCGGTGGTGGCACCCACCCTGCAGAACGCCCTCCCATCAGATGTCAAGGAAATAAACAACTACCTAACATTTAGAAGACATCTGAAGGCAGCCCTATTTAGGGAAGTTTTTAATGTGTGACATTTTAATGTATTTTTAATCTTTGTTGGAAGCTGCCAAGAGTGGCTGGGGAAACCCAGCCAGATGGGCGAGGTACAAATAAATTATTATTATTATTATTATTATTATTATTATTATTATTATTCCTCTTTCAACCAGCTTTTTAATGGTGCTCTTTACTGTTTTTATGATCTCATTTGAAAATATTAAGCAACTTCTAAATGCTTTAAATAAACACACAAAGAAATAACTGTGGACACTGTACTTCGACCATTCCTTCTGCAAATAAAGAGCCTTTAAACCAATGATAGTCTGTGATGTCTTCTCCAAAGAAAATGGAGCCTGCAAAAATAGTCCAGAACACAATCTGCCTTTGAAAAATTCAGGAAAGAGGAAGTTGTTTGGCATTTCATTTGTCACGGTGGCCAGTCCGATGCTTCCGGGAAGCCCACAAGCAGGGCATAAGGCTGACTGCCCTTACCTGCGGTTCCCCCTCCCCCAAGCAGCTGATATTCAAGTCTCATAGGAGCACAGAAAGCTGCCTTACACCAAGTCAGTCCATTGGTCTGTTTAGCTTGTATTGCCTACGCCAGGCATCCCCAAACCCGGCCCTCCAGCTGTTTGGGGACTACAACGCCCATCATCCCTGACCACCGGTCCTGTTAGCTTGGGATGATGGGAGTTGTAGTCCCAAAACAGCTGGAGGGCCGAGTTTGGGGATGCCTGGCTTACACTGACTGGCAGCAGCTCTCCAGGATTTCAGAGGAGTTCTTCTGGTCCCTCCCTGAAGAAAACACAACAGCCGAAGTGATTATTATTATTATTAAAGCATAGTAACACTACAGACTCTGCAGCAGGAAAGGAGCTAATCCAGTCCCAGGATTTTCGGAAACCAAAGGGTTGGCAAGGAGGAGCCCACACTAGGAGAAAGTACTGAGCTTTGTAAGGCCCAGAACAGTGACAAGGAGTTCAAGACTGCATAGGAGCTGAGAAGTTGTTCCAAAAAGTTCCCACTCCCACCTGCCAAGTTCTAAAGCTGAGGCGGAGTGCAGCCCTTATCTGAACCTCAATTCCTGTAGGAATGTCTAGGTTGTAAGCTGGTACTATGTCTAGGTGGCTGTGTCTCTGCCCTTTTCCAGAGGCGGCTGCTTGTCCTGGGAGAGAGTGCATACCTTTTAACGCTTCTCTGGTGAAAATAAGGACATCCTATTCTACATCAGGAAACTTCTCCTTCATTTGATCTTGCCACACACATATGCATTATATACACACATAAATCGGCCACCTTGAGCCAATTACAAATGTCTGCCAATTCTGCCTCACAGTATTGTCGTAAAGAAAAAATGTGTGAGGGAAGGGATTGTGTATGGCTTCCACAGATAAATGGAAGGAAATAAAATTTTAGTGATAAGCTGCCATAAGTCCCTGTCAGGGAAAAAAGTGGGATGTAAAATAATGATGATAATGATAATGATAATAATGATAATAATGATAATTTATACCCCGCCCATCTGGCTGGGTCTCCCTAGCCACTCTGGCCGGTTTCCAACAAAACACTAAAATACTATACTATTAAACATTAAAAGCTTCCCTAAACAGGGCTGCCTTTAGATGTCTTCTAAAAGTTTGGTAGTTATTTTTCTCTTTGACATCTGGTGGGAGGGCGTTCCACAGGGCAGGCGCCACTACCGAGAAGGCCCTCTGCCTGCTTCCTTGTAACTTGGCTTCTCGCAGCAAGGGAACCGCCAGAAGGCCCTTGGCGCTGGACCTCAGTGTCCAGGCATAACGATGGAGGTGGAGACGCTCCTTCAGGTATACTTGGTTCCTTGGTACCTTGGTTCTCAGACTTAATCTGTTCCGAAAGTCTGTTCCAAAACCAAAGCGTTCCAAAACAAAGGCGTGCTTTCCCATAGAAAGTAATGAAAAATGGATTAATCCTTTCCAATGATAAAAAACAACTCCTAAAATAGAAATTTAACATGAATTTTACTTTCTAATGAGACCATTGATCCATAAAATGAAAGCAATAATCAATGTACTGTACTGTAAAGGTAAAGGTGCCCCTGCCTATACGGGCCAGTCGTGTCCGACTCTAGGGTTGTGCGCCCATCTCACTTAAGAGGCCGGGGGCCAGCGCTGTCCAGAGACACTTCCGGGTCACGTGGCCAGCGTGACGAAGCTGCTCTGGCGAGCCAGTACCAGCGCAGCAC